ACAGGCGCCTGAAGGTGTTGGACCCCCCTCATCAAGACATCCTGACGCACCACAAAAAAAACACTGGAAATCAGGCCGCAATGGACATTCACTGTGTCAATATGTGTCCAGTGATTACTTAAGTCTATGAATACAATTATTTAATTTACTGGTGAGATTTGGTAACACAGGTAGGAGGTTGACACATGGTGATGTTTCCAATGACAAAAAATCTATTACAATTTCAGTGCCTCCCTGAATTGTTAGGCTATGTTAAAACCATGTGAAACTGTGACGCTTGTTTCAAACAGAACTGTTTTCACTGAACTGAAGGCGATATTGATTTTGCAATTATAAAATAGAAACTACTCATTTGTACTATGAATCGTATTTTATCTAATGAAGTTTTGTATAAAGTAATAAAGTAAATTGGTAACTCAATTAACCAAAAGGTATGAATAGATTATGATAGCAGTAAGAATATGTTTACATGTTTTGACAAAGCTACCATCTTCCAAGTATTTGGAAGTGATAATAAATTATTTTGTTGCAGCCCTTTTTATCTTTTTAGACAAAATCAAAAATACGTAACGTTATCATTTATTTTTCATTTTTGTTTAGGAAACCACGAATACTAATGAATAATAGTATCATAATGTCGACATACCTACATTTAAAAAACTCTGCTTCCAAATAGAGTGGAAAAGATTAAGATTCCCTCGGTCATGTCGATGTTAGTATTTATCATTCAATGTTTGGGACAACACAAAACTACACTCTTTCAGGCTGCATCGTGGAACTTGTCTTCAGAACAATGAACAAAAGAAACACTGTGATAACATTTAATATCATCATAGGCTCAATAGTCGGGTTTACATGCTTGCAGGGGTGTCCAGCCAGTGGGGCCTGTGGTCTCTTCGCTGGAATACAGAGCAGTAGAATAATGGATGCTTCTGTCATGAGATACACTGAAACTCTATGATGCTGGAGGTGAGAGACTCCATGTGGGTCTGTAAATAATGCCTGCCACTTGAAAATAGGTCTCTGGAAACTGCCCCCTGAGCTCGCGTAGCTGGTTCTGGGGGAAGTTGTATTTCCAGGAGTGGAGCCGATAGCAGCCTATTACGTTCAGATGGAAAATAATTAACATATACGACATTGGGTTAAAAAGACAAAATAGTGAGAATGTCATCTAAAATTCCCAATTGAGAACACAGTTATTTCAAATGTATTGGTCAAAGTTCGTTAAGTTTTGGGCGGATTTGTATATTGCGAACGTTGTATGAGCAAGACTTGAAATCGTGAATCCAAAATGTGTCAGTTTATGAGCAAGTTATAAGAAGGGTGTCTCTTCCCAGTAAAAGCCCTCACACCAGGTAGAGGCTGGGGGACAAAGGCCAAGCCGCAGTGGAGCGAAGCTATACCAAGGACCTGACATGCACTCGTCCTTCACTCTGACTCATGCTTAGTCGCCCGCCACCCACCAACACAGTGAAACCTCAGTCCCAATGCCAGGTTTTGTCACTGGGCAGAGAAGCATTTGGCTACAGTAAAAGCATGACGTGATGCCCCTTCCTCTGTGCTCCCCCAGCCTGTGCAGCAACAGAGAAGTAAAAATATCCCACCAGTGAGTTCAGACAACTAGCTCATAAATTAACACCAAAACTCCTGAAGACAACAGTGGGCCAGTCGCTGAGAGATTTAAACCACTCAGGTTGCCACCGACCACAGCACCCGGATCATCTTACAAAACCTTTTCCTAAATTTACCCATTAGGACCAGAAAAAGCTCTATCCGTTTTCCTTTAAGCTCACTGTTTAGCTGCCCGCAAAAACAGTGAGCAAGTTTTCCTAAATGGCTTGAGGTCCCGTTGTTGGAGGGAATGTTATGAGGTGAGATGCAGACGTAGGCTTACATCAACCAAAAAGTCTGCTCCCCGTTGAGCCGCATCGTACACAAAAATGTTTAGTATAAGTGAAACCGTTGGCTCATCTGTTATTAAAGCTACAGTAATGAAGACCAATCTCTTGTAGGTCTCAAGTAGAAACACAATGTTCCAGCTAACTGCTCCACTAGGTCAAAAAAAAGAAAAAGAAAAACAACAGGAAAGAAGAGTGATGATCCCCTTAAAAGAAAGGCTGCTCTGTAATGGACGGACAGGGATTACAGACGTTAAAACCTCCTGCATCTGTAATTCACAGTCTCCCTGCCATCATCTCTGAATCACTGATCTATTTTTCAAGTGTGCGAGACCTTGCTAAAAGCATCACTGTAGCGGCTATTTATTAATGTGGGAAAAGGAGAACAAAAATCCAAAAAGAAAAGAAGTTAAGTTAACACCTCACTGCGGTTTCAAAGCCCCCTGTCCCGAACAGCCACTGAGCTACTTTCAGACGCAGCAAATGGGACATGCTGATCAAATAGGATTTTAATGAACATCAGTAGGGAGAGTCAAAAGAAAACACGGAAAGAGCGACATCTTAATGCTGTTGCCGTCTAGGTTGATCAGCAATTTTTGTCATAAAAGACACACAATACATTCCATCACTGGTGCCTATAAAAGCTGAGCCACAGGGGTGGGGGGTATTTTGCACAGCCACTGTCCCTTTAATGAAAAAGAGGTGTAAATGACCAAGATCTGCTGATAATGCAAAATGTGAAGCATGATCATATAATATTAGTCAAAACTAGAAACTTGCAATGGCTGAAGCCATTGCGATTGACTGCGGAACAGATCTAATGTGGAAATCTGCTAAAAAAAATCCTTGAAATCCTTTAAAAGGCCTTGAAACTGTTAAAATACTTGATAGATATTTGAAACTCCTGAAGTGGAAACTGTTTGAAAGTGTGGAAACTCCTGAAATCCTTGAACCTCCTGATATCCTTGAAACTGGTTACATTCTTAAACAGTTGAAATCCTTGAAACTACTGAATGTATTGAAAGTGTCCTTGAAACTGAAAAATCCCCTCACCGCTGAAACAATTTGGTTCCTGTAACTAAGGAAACCTGGTCTGTGGTCATTATCTGGTGGTGGTCTGAGTCTTCGTTTGGGTCTTGGTCTGGTGTGGTATAATGCAACCTATTAGGTTGCATTATACTGGTTTACATGGAAAAATCCCTATTAGGTTGCATTATACTGGTTTACATGTACAAATCCCTATTAAGTTGCTTTATACTGGTTTACATGTAAAAACCCCTATTAGTTTACATTATAGTGGTTTACATGTAAAAATCCTTATTAAGTTGCATTATACTGGTTTAGAAAACGATGAGAAAGAATAGTTTTTCTCTGTAGACTTTCCTCTGGAGCCTCTCAGTGGGAGGGAGAGTAAATAAGATGTCATCAATAATAGACAGTGAATGTTCAGAGCACTTCAGCGCACACACACACCAGCTCGGGCTGATTCTATCCTGCAGACAGGCCTGCCAACCGCCAGCCTTTTTGCACACGCTCAGATTCACTGTCCTGACTAATCGCTTGTGATAGGGGCCTTTGCCATAATTACCCAGGGCCTTATCACAAACTTATGCGATGCATTTTTCATGTCTCTGGCTGCTGGCGGTGCCTTTACTGTCCATGCTGGCAGTCAATCTACAGGGGGGGGGAAAGGACTGATCTCAAGACAAATTCACACACACATGCGCACAGCGACCAGTTCAAACGGGGAGAAATGGGTGAATGTAGGGTGAAGGGCCAAAGAAGAGTGAAGAAAAATGTCCGGGAGGGGGAGGTGAGAAAGATTGGGGAGGGGGGGTATACAGGGGGTGGAAGATAGATAGTGAGCAAAGAAAGGAGTGCAGTCTTAGTATTTTTTTTACATAATGCATGAAGAGAGAGGCACAAGTAGGAGGACAAAATAGGATCAAATAAATAGAAGAAGTGAAGCCTTGATGATGTGGCATAAGTGCAACACAAAGCCCGCTGGGAAGACTTGTTCACTGTCCTTTTGTCTACCCAGTCAAAGGGGCATCATGACCTAAATAAAAGTTTAAATCCCAAGCTTGCATAATTTCGGAAATATTACAAGAACAATTGGGCTATGCTGCATACTAAAATCGTATGTTAATGAGCACGCAGTGGCCCACTAATAATCATAAATTGTCATTTGTAATTCAGCAATGCACGTCAAATGCCACGGGAAAACACAGTCCCATTGTCTACACGTCTTGTGATAGGTCAAACACGCTCCTAATACACACAAGGCTAGCCTATCTTCACGCACATTGAATAGGCCTAATATTGTGTATCCTGTTCTTTAGGAAGGTGTTCTTCAATCTAGTGACGAGAGCAAAGACATACGAAATACTGTTGTTTACATTGAAGATAGATCGGCACACTATTTTACTTTTTAAACCAATCATTTGCGTCCTGTAATGTGTCCCGTCTGCTTTCAAAGACGTGGCAATGACCGTAAAAACAGCGTAAAGGAAGACAAACGACCGCTTTCATCAATTAACAATCGTAAACTGTCGCCGTATAAAGTGTCTCAAAACGCTTAGCCGATAACGCAGCTAATGTTTCCATCTTCCCGTTTCTCAAACCATCATTTTGGCAGTAAAAAGGCACTAAAAACCCCAACAGAGCGCAGTTGTGTCTGCGCTTGTCACGGCAGCGCCACCTTAGTAGTCGCACTTATTTTTCCCCCAAATGATCCAACCTTCCAGCGGCTAAAGCGTCAGGCTAACTACGGTAGGCTACTGAAAGTTGAAGAGCCCGCAATAAACATACAAAGTGAGAATGTTTAGCCCAAAACGCGGTTGTTTAGTGTTTATTTGCCCGCATCCCGCCGCTCCGCTCCGGCTTGCCCAGTTGCAATGTCCGATCGATGTAGAATTGAACAAAGAGGATCAATTTCTGATCAGCGAGAGAGCCACTTTCATCAATGTGAGGAAGAGGTCTTGAAATCTCTTCCGAAACAGCGACGCGAAGGACACTAACTACGCACAAAACGCAGCGTCCTAAAGAGACTAGTCGGACAACACGCCGTCGCTGAAACCGACAAAAACAGCTTAGACTGACCTGTAGTTGTTGTAAGTCAAAGCGCTTCCAATATTGAAACATCGATCCTGCATTGGCCGCCATCTTGAGACATATTGAGACAGGAATGAGATGCTGATAGAGAGCGCGGGGGTTGGAGTTCAGTGGAGAGGATCGGCCGAGAGGAAGACCCGGACTGGACTCCTCCCACCTCGGCGCGCCACAGAAGCCCGGGTCTGGACCGGAGTCGCCTTGTGGGAGTGTTGCCTTAATAACGCCATTATAACAGCTTAAAGAGCATTTTATCAACGCGTCATATACAGGTAAACAACCTAAAGTGGCGTCAAAAGAGAAGCGCGTATGTTAATGCAAAAACACAAAGGATTTCTTTGTTCAAAATTAGACTGACGCATTGTATTTTTTTAAAGTCGAAATCTGGTTTCGTGTATTGATTTTATCGACTCCTGCAAGGGGTTTCATGAAATGGGCATATCTGTGAAGATAATGCATTGATTACAGACCAAAATAATACTATGTCTATTAACAGTTAATAACTAACCTGTTATAGCCCAGCAATCAATGAGTTGACTCAAATGCTTGGAGGGATGTGGGATAGGAAAAAGTTTTCTTTGGGAACAGACGGTTTTTTTGTTATATATCTTTTATTAGATATTGTTTGAACTTGGCCCTAAGCAGCAGATTTGCTGCTCGTTCCCAAAAACGTTCCCCACATGTGTCTTACATATTTTTCTGCTCTTTATCTCTGTTTTTTTAGAAGTCCTCTGTCCATTACACAGTTCCAGTTCTCTACATTTTGTCCCTGAAGTTAGATAATTTGTATATTTTCCCTTATCATTTTTTTCATTGACAAATATATTAACTGATTAAATTGGCATGTTTCCGTATTCAATCTTAATACATTGGTCTATCAATGCTGCAGTCCTTATTGAATGTGTTGGGCACATGAGGACGGACCAGCAGACAGACTGTGTTGGTGTCTGACCTTGAGCCACAGATTGAACCCTGCAGACCCTGTCCTCTGACCCCTGTTTGTGCCTCAGAGGGAAATGCAAAGTGTTTATAATTACAACGTAGAAAATGTATCACCTCAAAACCCCTGCGTCAAAGTGCAGCTGTAAGTACCTTAAAATACTCAGTGTTTTACTTCCAGCTTCTCTGCTCACCGGCACAAAACCAACGCCTTCGTACACATATAAACCCACCACATCTGGTACGCATTCTTTTTTTTGTGTAATTTTGTGGGTTCCCAAATTTGACTTGTCTGCGAATCCAGGGTGCTGTAAAGCTCAATTTGCAAGCCTAAATTGCCCTTTTTATACTTAACAAAGGTCTATCAGCTTAGCTTTTATAGAATTATTTTACGGCTTTATTTTCCACCACCCCGATCACATTCATTTTTCACACCCATTGCCCTTTAATTGCATTCCCTAAAAATAACACAAGTATTTGCCATAGATAATAACAGCTCTTTAGCTGCGCTTGTGTGAAAACAAAGGTGGGCATTTTCCTTCGAGAATTAGCCCATTTGAGATCATTACTTGATTTGAAGCGGTGTGTGACCTATTCCTAGACTTGGACTAAGTGGTGCAAATGACTTGACTTTAAAATCTCCTATTGCAAATTTATTTTAGGAAGAAGTGCATGTAACTGCATTCTGATTTCTCACTGTATTTAATGCATTGGACTTTTCTTATGCAAAAAGACATTGTTTAAACCTTGTTTTTGCGTTCTTTCTTATGTCCATCTAAGAGAATTTTTTTTTTATTATTCAGAACATGATTAATCTAGGAGGAATAATGCAAATAATAATTATGAATAAATATGCAATACTTACAATGCTTCATATGACACCCAAAGACACTTCACATCGTTTTAGTCATCATGGTGTGTGTATAGAGTGTGTATTTATGTGTAAGTAAGCATTTAAAACATTTGAGATCACCATATAGTATATCAGTGGTGTGTAATCATCAGACCTCAGTGCGCTTCATCTCGCTTTATAACATAGCGAAATTAGAGAAAGGCAGAGACACAGATTTAACCTTTAAAAGGCCTCATTGGTTCATGACAGTGGTACAGCCTGATGTCCTGAAGCTCTCCCACTTTCTCGTTTGTGTCTCCTCTCTTTGCGCTCATTGACTCTGCCTGTGAGGTGCTTTTAGCAGGCCTAGTGCGGCCGGGTTATGGAGAGGGATGTGTGGCCCCTGGGAGCCGCGGGCAGATAGCAACACTGATCATGTCAGACAGGCTGGGGAGGCTGCATAAGATCATCATCAGCAGCAGTGGAGAGAATCGCCACAGTGGCACTTTCACACAACCTCTGACCCCAGGGCCAACCTCTGAGGTCATGATCAAGGTCCAGGGTCAGCCAGGGCCTCAGCGGTCCGCGCGCCACCTCCTCCAGCCCCTACTCTCCACAGTTTTGTTTTCTTCTTCCTCTATCTATTTCTTTATCACTCACACTCTCCTTGACTGGCTGAGACCAATTGAGACATCCCTTCCCCTGGGTGTGCAAAAAGGAAAGTAAGAGAAAATCAATAGGGTGGATGAGTGAAGACCTGGGGGTCCCATCAAAAAACTGAATGTTTCTGTCTGCACTGGCCTGATTCAAACACATTCCCAAACACAAGGTGTTATTTCTGACAACAAGAAGATAGTGTGCCTAGCATGGTAGATGGACAAAAATACCATAAATGATTTGTAAAGCTGTTGTGTGGACTGCATGAGTGTGTTGCCTGCACCATCCCTAATCTTTAGACGTTGGCTGCCAAAAAATACACCACACTAAAGCTGAAAGATTTTACATCTGTTTTTCATCTGAGCTGCTTGTTTGTGATGTGATCATTTAATGGAGAAACATGAGCATGATTCACACACAAACTCACAGTGAAAAAATCCTTTTGGGAAAGATAAATATAGTAATCTGAAACAATACATTTGATACCACTAAAGATATAAAACAAATATATATATTTTTGAAATGCTCTTTATGTTAAAGGGATTTTTTTGTTACCTCAAAGCAAGTACTTAACTTGCTTTTGTTTCAGCAGAAAGAACAAATCAGGCTGCAACATGCTGTCTTCATCTTACTAGAAAACATTTGATCTTTTACATACTGAGAGTCGGTTGGCTGTGTACTGCTGACTGATTCTCTCTTTTCACAGTTTTTGGACAAACATATCTTGATACTAATTGGGAGGAGGCAAATCATTTTACCATACTTAGCTGCTGTAAATACCCTAAAATCACAAGACCAAAGCAGACAATCTATCAAATGTTTGAAAGAGTTTTACTGCTGCATCTGAAATGGAGGGTCAATGATTGGTAATAGGCTCCAAGCCTACAGGGAACAGTGACACACACATGTACAAAGATCTCTTTTTCCTGCCTGGGTGAAGAAAAGTGAATGGATGGAGCAGGAAGGAGGAGGACCCAGTGCAGAGACACATGCTTCTTGCTTCATCTCCTCCCACTCCTCCTTCTCGACAGTTTTTTTCCACTTAGATCTAGACTTCAGGACACACTCTGTGTCTATGGGGATGAATAATGTCTCGGTCTTTGGCAATGTTTTTCCTGCCCACCAGAATGACAGACACAACACTAGGCTTTACAACACAGCTGCTCTCATCATTCTTTAATGAGTTGTGATCAGAATATATTGTCAACATTGAAAACGTGATCCCAAATAACACAAGACTCTTTGCTGTGCACATATTTTGATTCAACAAATTTGTGATTTAAATGTCTTCATGTGACTCACGTTTGCCTAGGCTATTCACAATTCATATTCTGAGAAAATTGTATTTGTCAGATGAGATCTTGAATAATAATAATTATTCTGAATTTGCAGGCAAACAGGAGCAAGTTACTTTTGTTTGGCCTAAATAAAATATTACGTTAAAGGCATAATCTAATTAGAGTTTCTCTACGGCATGCCTAATTTCAAATGCAATGTTTATTCATTGGCTAGCCTAAATTAAACATGGATGTCAGAAGATGGACTCAAGCTTTTAGCGCTACAGTTTTGTACTAGTGTCGGGAGGCACCTAGTGGTCATGAAGATGTCTAGCATGTTGTTACCAAGTTTATTCAGTTTCTGACTGCATGGCGTTCAGGGGCATTTACGAAACATATGTGACATTGCTCATGTAAATAGTTTTAGCAGGGAAACCCTCGTCCAGTCTGTTTGAGTCAAATCAGAATTTAAAGGTATTACAGAGGAAAAATAGCCTCTTGTCTACATCTGGCTTTTTGGTCAGTGTTGTATTAAGTTGCACCAATAAGCAAAATTAACTACATGAAACTAAACTAAACACATACTTTTGCAAGAACCTATAGTATGTCGCCTCAGAGCAGGAGGGCCAAAGCCTCACAAAAGGCTCCTTTCACAACCGGGAAGTGGATGCAAGCTGTGGCGCCACGTCATGTTTATCGCGCTGCTGTGTGTTTTCAGTGGATCCACCTTGGATCAGACCTGCAGGACAATAAAGTGCCCGGCTGATATACACCAGATCCAACTTTGTTTCTAATAAGGTCGCAATGATGTAGCACTAGCTGCAGCCGGTGATGGAAACGTGGACTTGTCAATAGTTGGAGATGGGCTGCGTGTGGGCTCGTGAGGCTCGCGCTCTCCGGTTTGTGCTCAGACGTGCTGCGCGCGCGCTCAGAAGCCCACGCGCTGTCCCAGTGACCACTGCTGTGTTTGTCCTCGTCCTCTGCGGCTTTCTGCTCCACCTCCCAGACTTTCACCACGACAACTCCAATCTAGCGGATGATCACAGGGGCGTGAAGCTGCTCGTCTGGACTCATCCGTTCGGTCAAAACCGTAAGCTTCCGGACTGCTGGGCTCGGTACCGGATCGAGGGCTGCACGCTCACGGACGACCCCCTGGAGTACCCTCACGCAGACGCTGTGCTGGTCCATCACCGGGAGATTGCTACAGGCGCTGCGCAACTTCCTCCCGAGCCGCGTCCCCGTGCGCAAAAGTGGATATGGATGAACTACGAGTCTCCCACGCACACGCTTGCTCTGTGGCGACTTGAGGGGGAATTCAACCTGACCCTGACCTATCGCAGAGACGCGGATATCTTTTTGCCTTATGGTTATTTAGAGCCGGGGCTCTCACGGAGTCCTGACGCGCACCTGCTGCGCGCTGGTTCACGCGCACGTCTTGACCGTCCCCAACTGGTGGCGTGGGTCATCAGCAACTGGTCAGACTCTCAAGCACGCGTGGCCTTCTTCTACGAGCTTCAGCGTTATGTGCGCATAGATGTTTATGGACGGGTTGGGGTCCCACTGGCCGCGGGCAGGGGAAGCGTTGTGCGACTCCTGTCCAGGTACCAATTTTATCTGGCGTTAGAAAACTCTCAGCACACGGATTACATCACGGAGAAGCTCTGGAACGCTGTATTAGCAGGAGCCGTGCCTGTAGTCCTCGGTGCATCGCGGCGCAATTATGAGCGTTTTCTGCCCCCCAAGGCCTTCATCCACGTAAACGACTTCCCCTCAGTGCGCGGCTTGGCTCGGTATCTGCTAATGCTCCACCGTAACCCAAGCAAACTTTGGCACCATCTGGACTGGAGGGAAGGGTACAGCATTGTACAGCCATCATTCTGGGCCCACCATTATTGCACCGCCTGTAGGGAAGTGCGCAAACGCATTGGCACCAAACAAGTGGTCCAAAGTCTGGAACAGTTCTGGTCCGATCCGGGCTTATCTCATTCACATTCCCGAGATGTCCCCAGGTTCACACCAATCAAACACTTTTAGACTTTGTAAGCTATTTCATATTGTTGACTGTTTTGAGATTAAATTTTTTTGTTGTTGTCCCAGTCTAGGAAAGGCTTGATATACGCCCTATACCCTTTACACTGTAGTCATTTGACACTTGATGAAGATAAAGGCTTTAGCCCACTCCTCCAGTGAAGAAAGCCGCTTTGTCCTTCGTTCTCTTATTGTCCATTCAACAGGTGTTTAAATAAAGCAATCTGAAGCTTCAGAAACAGCTTTTATCTTCTTCATCAAGATTATAAATAGCCATAAATTGCAGATATCCTGAATGAATGAAGATACGTTAATCATGTGAAACAAAATCAATTATGAAATGTCTAAATCTAAGCATACAGTAAACACCTGTTTATTGGTATATTGCTTTGTAGGAAAGAAGGATTCAAAATCAGAATACTGTTAGTAAGTTGCAACATCAGAATTCCGAAAATTAAAAAAATATTATCTGAACAATTATGGACACATTTAGAATTAGAAATTAAATATAACAAAATAATATACATGTTTACACCGTAACAGTAAAACAATAGGCATGAATAAACATTTTAAAATAATGCAGGTCATGGACCCTTACATTAATAAATAAATAAAGTACTATTAAAGTACTCCTTATCTTCTACAAACAAATTTACTTGAAAATGTATTTCCCATTTTATTTATTTTCTAAAGAGATTGGTTTCAATCAACATAATTAGAAAATGTAAGGACTGAAAACTGTTGATGAGTTCACAGAAGACAGTTAACCATGTTAAGTCTATAAAACACTATTTTGATAAAGCCTCATATTAAGGGTCTATTTGATTTGATTCACTTTGTCTGCAAAGACAGAGACCCCCACATCAATAACACTCCCCCTTCATAAGTGGGGCCCCTGGAGACACTAATCTCATTCACAGCAACAGATGTTTCTCCTAAAAAACATCAGGGGGAGACAAAAGTCTGTCTCTGTCATTCCCACAGGGATCAAAGACACCAGACTAAGGACTGTAACTTTTTATACATTAGAGCTGGGTTTATGTGCTGATTTTAGTGTCCAGTCTTTATGATCATATAATGCACATATACATTTATTCTATACATTTTCAATTTATTGACACCAATCCATTGTTCCAAAAAACATAATGTTCACTCATATACTTTCAGCCTGGTCTATTATACTCGATTTGCCTTGGACATCCAGTGGCCCTGGATATGTTCAATAGCCCTAAATAGTTTATAAATAGATAAAACTAAATAGATGATGTTACTAATACTCCTGAAGTTTTTTTTTCTATGAGTAAGGTGCTACTCTAATAAAAAAGTAGATGCCTATTCATTTGAGTTGTCTGCAGAGTGTCCTTCTGCAGTATCCTCCAATATTTTAAAACCTCAAATGTGCTCCTGAGATGACCTGACCATATATGTTTATTTTATGTTCACTAAATCAGTTAAAAGAAAACTTAACGTATTTGGAATGTGTGTGACAGTTTAGTATAAACCATTAGTATTAGTATATTTCTGTCTAAAACATATATAATGGGGATTTAATGCTGGGGTCCACATTCATATATATTTTGTGTTGGCAGTTTCCTACTTCTAGTTGACATTTCCCCAGACCCATTACTGGGAGACGGGGCATCTCTCTGAAGGCTGCAGCCAAGATCATCTCCTCCTGTCCAGTTGTTTGTATCCACTGATGAGTAGTGAGTGGCTAAAACGTCTACATTCAAAGGGTCTGTCGTCATATACATCACTGACTCTCATTCCTTTAATGTGTGAATCACAGGTTTGGATTACTTTGGTGAAATAGCAGAGTTCTAGATCTGATCCACCCTAACGTTTGGCATAATTTACAACAAACACTTTTATGACTCACGCCACTCATTAAACATTAACTTTGTAGAATATAATTACGTAATCATAATTTATGAGTACAGATTAGAGAATCGTTGGCCCATTTCATCAAATGGTTGCTAAGTATAGTTACTAGCCTAATTCCCATTAATAATTCAATTTTCTGTTTGTGATCTATCAAAAACAGGAATACAAAATAAAGAAAATTAAATGAATATTCAAATCTTAAATGTAATAATGATAACTGTTCTGTGAAAAATCAAGTGCCTGTCATATACATAATTGATTAAGTACAGTGGCTACACATTCCAACTTTTGATCCTGAAATCTAAATCCACAATAGTGGGTCCACAAACAAAATAAAGCACTGCTTACAGAACACTGAACCACTTTTGCAGATCTGCAAGGAGCTGTAATGTGACGGCTGGCTTCCCTCGGCTGTGTCTGCTTGCCCCATAGACCTCTACTCTGTCTCAGTGATGGCTCCTGTGATTGTGATCATCCATCTTACTGTCAGAAGCAAAAAGAGGCCAAGGAAGGGGAAATCACACACAACATCTCCCTTTTTCTCCCCAGTGTCGGACAAATAAGCCACGCCACTGTAAGCCCGAGCTGACCAATCAAGCTTTATCCATGTGCAAGCTGCTTTGGATAAAATGTGTGGGAGTCTGACTGTCTGGCTTTGGTCTGTTTGTGCCTGTCCATTACACTGCATGATCAGTCACCATGTGTTCACTGGGGAGAGGCAGACAAGTCTCATCTTGCACTTGATCAAATGCACCAGAGTCCTGTTCCTCTCTGACCAGGAAACACAGGCCCTATATCATCAACACGTCTCAGTACAAAGGATAAACAAGAGTGATTACACCCGAATGAAGGGCTGGAAGAAAAAATGCACAAAGGCGATGGATCATGTGTAATGTTATAATGCCGTCTTGTAATACAGTTGTAATGATATAGCGTAAATATAGTTACTCCGAGAAATATAAGGCAATTTTTTATCTCTAAGCTAGTAAGTCTATGCTAGTAAGTAAGGCAGCATCAAAATGAAAGTGCCAGGAAAGACATGGGCATTCAAAATTCTTTCTCTCCTCTCTCCTATACTTTGTCATCATCATGGCTTCAGCTGTGCTCTGTTTACTGCTATCCACCCGATGTCCCATTGTCTGTTTGTCCTTGTTCTAAAGCCTGAGTCCTGGATCTACAGTCTGTCCGAAAGTGCGAGCAGATCCCTCTCTCAATATGGGTCTCCCCGATGTTCCTCACATATTTCCCATTGTTTTTTTTTTTGCATCGTTCCATTCTGATGCAGGACAATTAGAGATTATTATTCACAATGAATAATCTTTTTGGACATTGGTCATCCCGTTCCCTGTGGATTGATAGCTTCTTTGTGTTTGTTACTATTACATTTCCTGCATTTTACATTTTTTTCTGATCTGCTCTTGACAACTTTGTAAAGTTCTCTGAGATGACTGCTGTTGTGATTTAGGGCTATACAAATACACATTGAATTGAATTACTCAAGAAAGAGTAGCCCTTCTGGATATACATCACAAAAAATAGATATTAGCGTCACTTAGAGTGACCCCCATTGCCTGGAATGAGTCGCTTCTGTCAGTGTGCCCCAGGGCAGCTGTGGCTACGGTAGTAGTTTATCACCACCGTGTATGGAGTAAAGCGTCTTTGAGTGTCCAAGAAAGCGCTATATAAAACTGATGCATTATTATTATTACTATTAACTCCAAGTCCAAGACTGAGGGCCATTCGATGCCGCGCGCGTCTGTAATTTAGACAAAACCCAGAAGAGAAAAAATATTTTTTATTCCTTCAACCATTCTGTATTGTATCTATCTATCTATCTATTCCTTCAAATGGTGCGAGAAAACGATACGGTCCTGGTAAAGTTTCTGTCACATGTAGAGTGCCCAAAACAGTGCTGTTATTTCAAGCAGCAATAAAAGTTTGCTTAGTGAAAAGTGCCCTCAATAACAGCTCCTATGCAAAAGCTGTCGTTCAAGTTTGACGAGTCGTTAGGTTGCATGGTTTTTTTCCTGGCAATGGCAACAATAGTATATTGCCATCAGCAGATGCACCAGTTTATTGTGAGCCTTGCAAACTTGATACACCTTCTGACCTTTTCCTACAGCGCTCGGCGTCTATTCTATAACAAAAGAGGGTCATGTGATCACCCTTTCGCATCTCTTGAACAAACAAAAACCAAAACCAGATAGAAGAAAGCAGGGTGGAGTCTTGTTGTGAATAGCTCAGACATGTGTTGAAGCGGCACCAGTGTCTTCTGTCTAATTATGATCAAGAAAGGGGTGACAAAACAAAATTAACCGTTTTGTAGTTTTGGGCTTTAATCATTCAATCAACAGACTATCATCTTGTGGTTCTAATGTGCTATAATTGGAAGAAAACAAAATCTTGTATAAACGATAACAAAACATTCAGTGGAATCAGTTAAGTGACAGAATTTTTACTGCAGCCATGGCCTTATTATGTGTTTGGGATAGACATGAACAACATTGATTAAGACAGCATGGAGCAAAAGTTAGAGCTTGTTAAGAATCCAGGCTATCAAGACAGCCACAACATGAAAATAAATTAAAGTCCAATACAAGCAAGGAAAGGGTTATATATTCAGCTTTAATGAAAACCACTTGAATAGAACAGCTGCAGACTTAAATTCAACCAGGATAGTTTCATATCGTAACCCTAACCCTAACCCTAAACACACGTATTATAGATCCACCCAAAGCCTTTCAGACTATTGAGAAATGTCTGTACAGAGTAAATAGTATTAACAGTAAGATCAAATACTGACCCAGGCTGCATTACAATAAAAGTGGGGTTGATTTATCTATTGAATTTATTTGAGGAAGAATATGACATCAGTAAAGCTTAATTCCAAAGCACATTAATGGGTCTAGGCCCAGAACATGTGAGAATTTGTTCAAAGCAAAAGTAGCCTACGGTGTCACTCAGCTAATGGTCCAGATGTTTTAGAGGAACAGTCGTGTTTTGCATCACTTTAATAAGACTAACGATGACACATTTCTACAATGGACCAAAACACTAAACACAGCATTGTGAGCTTTACTAAAGTATTTGTACTTAGAGTGTTTAAAAAAAGGCTTTTTTCTCAGAACAGAAACCACAAAATACAGTTCATTATGATCCATATTTTTAAATGTTATAATTACTGCTCTGTTTTACACTTACATAATATCATATTTACAGTGTAGCCTCAAAGAAAAACAATGGAATGCATGAATCAAACTAGGTCAATATATCCTCGAATGAAAAAAATAGAAAACAATACATAATGCAAAGTTCATCTTAAAAATTGATGTCTTGACAGGGTAATTTATAACATGTCAACAAAGTACTATAAATACACACTTTAAAAGCCTACTCTTAGAGAGAGGTTCGTCTCTGTCTTTCATTTAGTATTCGAGTTTTGTGAGGTTTTTGAACAGGTGGCAAGCGCTTTATCTTAATGGTTGGCAAAGACAATGGGCCAGTGATGCCAACACCAGATCCTTCGGAGTTCTCTGCCAAAAGAAAGATATAGGCATAATATGCATGTTCTTTTTTGTCCTTAATAGTGTCTCCTTCTTACCATGAACACCAATCATATGTTCCAGAATCAGAACTCTTTCTGCCAGGATTTTCAGGGCTTCCCTGAGCTGCTGCACAGCCTCACTCTAAAGAGCACACTTTTATGGTGGATGTCTTTATATGAGAGTAGTTTTAAACTGTGCTATGAAAACCCACCTCATTCACAGCTTCTCCTGGTTCACCCTTTGGCCCAGGTGCACCCTGATAAAAAACAAAATATTATCTGTCTTTAGCTGTCTATTTTATTGCGGTTTTACTTAACTTACAGGTAGACCCTTCTCACCAGACAGACCGAAAGCTCCCTATAAAGAAGAGAATACATCATCACAATGTGTGTGCAATTTAATTGGAATAGTGGTTGTGTTTTAGTGCGAGCACAGGTTCAAACACGGTACCCTTTCCCCTTGGTCTCCTTTCAGTCCTGGGGCACCGGTTGGTCCTTGGGTGCCTGTTTTCCCCTAAAGCCAATAAAGAGAAGCTGTTTATTAAAAAACAAAACAAACTATTACCTATTTGCTATTCAGCAATGGCCTCACATCTTGTCCAGGAATCCCAGCCATACCCTCGGGTCCCCGGGGTCCAGCGGGACCTGGAAGTTGAAATTAAAAAATAAAACAAGTACATACATTTTAAGTTTAGTCATGAAATGAAAGTATTGATTACTTTAATGTTGTACTTTACCTGCAGGGCCAATAGGGCCTGTTGGACCTGGTGGACCAACAACCACCTGGGTTGGTGGAAAAGCTGCAGAAAGATAGAAAGATAGAAAGATTAAAACAATAAAACCCCAGTTTATTCACCTAGTAAAAAAGAAAGACCTAATTGCAAAAGCCAGTTTAATCCTGAATTAAAGACTTTTCAAAGAGAGCGTATGTGCAGTATGTGAATTTTAGCAATGCTGCTTATGATGTGGTTGAGCCAGCCATCTTAACACTAACAAGGCAACAACGGCCAAAACCAGAGAATAGCAGTGAGGTCAGGTCAACAACAAGTCTACAGTTTCATAGTGCAGGTCTATTACTGTAGTGATGGGCAGAAGCAGCTGCTCAGTCTAAATGTGTAAAAGTCGTAGAACATTTGGCTTGCTCTAAATCCAGAGAAAAGGGATACTCAAAAAGGAAGTCTTGTCAAATTGTAAGGGTAATCTTACGGGTGTGAGTTTTGTTTGAGTCTGTGCCACACTTCCAATTTCTCACCACTTGAACACATGTTCAGAGTCTTCTCTTGTGTTCAGACACGGCTTGGGTCTTCAGAAATGGTCTGGAAGCAGATTTCCCTCTGGAACTAATTTTATTCTGTTACAGTCTCCCAGCTGCTGGCAGCCTCCCCAAGAAACTGCACATGAGTGGCAGACCATCTCCTCCCTTGTTCATAGCTAGCCAAAAAATCTGGCAAAAAGCCGTGGCCTGTTCCTCCAAATACAGACTGTTGTGCTGACAGCTAACAAATTAGACCTGATTTACAGCCAGTGCCCCCCACCCCTTGCTAACATGCTCCTACAGACCCAAATCTGCCTCTCTCCACAGTTGAAAACACGGCCAGGACATAATGAGAGCCAGCAGGCCTCTAAACATAGACGTATCTGGTCCCCTGCTGCCTCCTTGTGGCCAATACCACATGTGTGGTGCATAACCCCAAAGTCTGGATGGCAGAATCACTCATTATTTAGTCCCATTACGAGGGATATGTACAAGTACAAGTAACCCCTAAGCCTGAAAAAACAACAACTAAACAAATAGCTATGCTCAGATCTAAAACCAACCTTAGATGAAGCGACAAAAGTACAAAATATATATATATATATAAATTACGTTGTGTAATTGAGTATACGAGACAATATCTTTAGAACATGTTTGACAGAGAAATCGTATCCAAGCTAATGTTCTTACTCTGGGTGTTCACGTGAAACACATCGCCTCTAGTTTGAATCGGAGAGAAGCTGGGCCCTGGTGGACCCGGGGGACCTGGAAGACCTGGTGGTCCTGGGTCACCCTTGTCCCCTGCAAGACCTCTGTCCCCTTTTGGTCCTGATGGCAAAAGAAAATCATTAGATGAATTGAAATGATAAAAAATCATTGTATTGAAAGTTTATCACCAATGATTCCAGGAAAACCAGATCTCCCTGGAGGCCCTGCACGACCGGGAGGCCCAGGTGGACCCATTGGTCCCGGGGATCCACTGCTGACTAAAATGTTTAAAACAATGTAATTACATTTGAATTAAATACAATGTTTTAATTCCCAAAAATATTTTGTCATGTGAAAGTTTGTAATCATGTTTGAAATGATCAAAACATACTTCAGCAAGTGCCACATTGCTCAGAGCTCTTACCGGACGGCACGTTGGATGGAGGAGTTGGTTGATCTGTATCCACTTCGTTGTCAGCAGAAGCCTGAGATAATTGAGTCACTGTTGGTGTCAGTGGAAGTCCACCTTCTAATATTTTGATCTGAAAAAACAACAATCAATCGAACGCTCTCCACCGGACTGATTATGTTCCTCGCTACCTTTGATTCTATGTGTTGCATTCTGCTGCTCATTTGAGAGAATGTTGTGCAGTTCAGGCACTCTGTAACAGTATAGAAGATTTAAGTCATTAGATAAAATCATTCTTATCAACATGGCTTTTTCTTTCATCACTTCACACAGATATAAAGTCAAGATGTTATTGACCAGTGAAGTCAAGGCATCATCAAACATTTCTCCTTAAAGTATGTCATTTACATTTACTAAATATTTCTCAAGCTTAAGAGTCCAACAAACACAGTGCACCTGCTGTAGTACTGACTTTGCATGTTTTATTCTACCCACTTGGTCCTGATGGTTTGAGTGTCCAGATGTACACTCCTTTAAACCATTATCACCATGGTAGCACCAACAAACACATGTTTTATGGTTCAACTAAGTTGTTTAAAAATTGTTCATGTAGATTCTCTTCTTCCATGTTTAGAGATTCACTTCCTGGAAGACATGATTCTCTCTTTAAAGCCTTTTACTTATTCTTATTTTAGCAATGCAACCTCGCTAAACCCGCAGATAACTACACATTTCCTGTTTGGACAGACATTTTGGATCCTTTTATATGAGCACAAAGCCATAAAACAGAGCAGCCCAATTTCCTATGGATGTGTTCTAAATGTGAGCATGGGCCATAGAACGACATGGAATGAAGCTGTCAGTTGAAAATGGTTTCCCCCGCCCACATTGTGGTCATAGCGGGGACACCACATAAAGCTAAAGCTTCAAAATAATAGTACACAGCAATGAGATGGTTTGGGTCAGGGATTCAGAGTGCACCTGTTTTTGTTAGAGCCCAGCAATAGACTTGTGAATGTATCAAAGAAACCATATATAAATAATAGGAAGTTCAATAAATTAAAAGTTGGCAACTACGTTTAACGCCCGGTGCGCCTAAAGCAGTGCTGAAGATGGAGCTCTGGCTTCGGCCTACGTCAGAGGTCTTTTTTAAATACAAAAGAAGGATGGGGAGGTCTGTTTCACATAAGTCTATGAGTAAATAATTAAGGCAGCACAAACAATGATTTTTAGTGTTGTTTTATTGGCGTGTGTTACCCCCAAAAGCCTTATTTTAAGATCTGGAGTTAAATCTTAGATTGCAGCCACTAAAGGAAACAACAGTCAACAAGTTAACCCAAAAGACATTCCAAATGTTCAGGCCTTGGTGACCCCTCATGAGCAGTTTGTTGAGATGCAGATGTTTAGATAACAACAACATGCCTGAAACTAAATCTCTCTCAGACAAAACATAGATTCACAAATATAAATTGAAAAATGAGGTCCTTCTGGCGCAGAGACAGTAAATATTGTCCATTTGAAAGACAATACAGACTGACTCGAACAGTGTTTCAGTGAAAACATTTAGCGTTTTAGCAAAATAGTCATAAAATAGCCTCAAACCAGTAGCTTACGGTTAGACCTCCAGAAATGTCCAGCAGTGCAAAACACAAGTGACATTTTTCACAAAGCGGGGGCTGTTCCTGGTGTTGGACTTTAATTATGTTGGGTTAGAAAACCAAACTTCCTCTGTGTTAAAGCTTGTGTTTAAAATGAGACAACGGCTACAGTCTGTTTGGGTCCATAATTACACCATGGCGGAGCAGGTTTGGATTATTTTTCTTGGATTGTGCACAGTTCATGGGAAGAATTCAGAACGTGTTGTGTTCAGGGCACACCAAATAAACACAGAAACTACAGAAAATTATTTTTCTGATACCAAATGATGGAACACTGAGTAAAACAGTATTCATGAATGTATAGGCTACAGAACATCAGTAATAGGATACTCAAAAGATTTCTCATCAGTATTTTCTTTGAACAGAATATGAGTGATTAAACAAGAAAGAAATATTAGCTAAAGGCTGTAAAACCATTGCAAAATCAATAGCTCTGAATGGAAATGCCATAATATGCTGTTCTTCTTAAATAAATATACAAACCAATATAATACAGCAATGTAAATCATGACACAGACGCCAACACTGTCGTCACTCTGTCTATTGAGTGAGACAATGATTTGCTCAAACAACTAGTCCCCTCTCCTTCAGATTCTATAGCTGGTTGTGAGTTCTGCGGTCGTGGTGGTTATAGACACTCACTGGTACAATCTACCCCCCTCCTCCCAGCACTGGGCTTGACCGGAGCCTGGTTGACAACCCCCACAGAGCTCAGGCAACTTATTTACTATTAATACTGTAGAGACAGGATCAAATAGAATTTACAGTAAAAGGGTAAAATGGGTCATTGTAATAAAAGCATGTGTAGTTGGCTTTGTCCCAAAATTTATTAAAACATATTTTTGGAGAGGTTACTGCAATGCTACATAGTAAGAATTCTATGACAAGAGAGGGGAGACTTATGTATCAGAAAGCCACACTTAAGCACTCCAGCCCTCAGGCCTAGAGCCACCGGGGAAATTTAACACAGATGACTTGTAAACCAGAGTAACAAAACACTTCTACTCAAAGCCTTGACAACACGCACTGACCTTAAAGATTGTCCACGATGGTCATATGTTGATAACAGCTTTTTTGACAAAAGTGCAACATTGCTTTATGGTGTTTCTATTTTCAAATGTTTGAAGAAGCTGAGAGAAAGTCAAGTGGGAAACATCATGTAATAGAAGAATACAAGACGTTATGGCACAAGATCATCACTCATATCAGGAGCTGAGAGGAAATGGTTCCCAGCGTGTGTCCTCTGGCCTGTATCAGGGAACAAGCATCAGACATATCCCTTACACTTGGGTTCAGGCGAGCGCAAACGGGATTTGGCTCAGTTTTATCACTTTGGACGTCAAGTTAGTGGACAGAAATCAGAAGTGTCAGGATGTTGTTGAAAAAGAAATAGCAAGCTGAGTCTAACAGATGAATAGCGACAAAAAGGCAAGATTATGTTAAAAATGAAGTCAGTTTAGAAAACATGTCTATCCTCAACTTTGAAAGAAACAGTAAATTCAAATAAACCAGTCAATCACAAATCTATGAATTTTTCTAACACAACAAAAATATTATATACACTATATACACTATATAATATTGATCAATGGTCAAATGCTCTATTTTCAGACTCAGACTTACAGCACATGAGATACAGTATGTGATTTAACTAAGATATAATTGCAACAAATAAAAAATAAATATGTCTGGAAGAATCATCTGATACAATGTTCTTCAGCGGCTTCTCTGCGTCAAATTTATCAAATTGATCTAGATGAGTTGATTTTTAAAATAACATGCAGCATAAGTCATTATGTATAACTATATCCTGAATATACTGAATAACTATACTAAGTAATTGTTATCATGAGATAAAGGAAAATTACATTCACAGTATAGGAATAGGGTTTTCTTTGGGAAACTATAAATCTATAAAAGAATAACTAGGGATTTAGTGTGAGCGATCTAAATGAGTGTATATTGACATATTTGAATGCAGATAAGTAAAAGCAGTCATGAAGCCTCTAAGCTATGTGTTTTTGAGCGTCCAAAAAGCGCCATATAAAACTGATGCATTTTAGCCCTGGCCTGATCTTTACGTGGTCATGTATGTTAAGGACCTGGAAGTTAGAGTTATGCCCATTAATCTCTAAGGGGCCCATGGGCTCAGGTCCCTCTTCAATGGGTTTCAGGCAGCTCACAACAAGATGGAGTTCTTTGGGATGAAAACATTCTCTTCCTGTCTGTGTTCCCCATGTTTGTAATAATGACCCACTGACCTCCACTGTGAAGTCTGACTTTGTGACATCGGCCCACACTTTTACGCCTATTTACAACATGGAGCTCTGTGTATCCACATGGAGGTGATTTTCTCTGCACTTCAAGTGAAAACAAACAGCGAACGCAAGAGTTCTCCTTCACAATCCTGCAACCAATTAAGTCTCAAGCAAACTAGGGACTCTGCCATTATCAAAGTAGAGGATATCAGAGAGTCCAAACCTGAGCGTAAAATGATGTCCACTGACTTGATAAATACTTAGTCTAAAAGTCTAAAATCACCCACATTTTCCATGTCTATCAATACATTCAAGCTAATATTTACAATGCTGCTCTTGGACACATAATAAGTCCACACCAAGGATGTGCTGTTCCTCACTGCCTTTAGCTTTAAAACATCAATTCTGCCATACCACTAAAGAGCTGTCCATTTCAACAAGCATGGTGAGGTTATTGTAACCTCAGTCACGCCTTCAGAGGACATTATGTTCAAAGCTTGTGGTGGTGAGTACTGCAGACATGAGGCATAGTATGGAGAAATAAATGTGAACCAAGGAGTTGGGAGGGACCTGTCGGCTGGACCTTGGGCCAACCTCAGTCTAGTTGTGGTGTCTGGCCCCTGAGTGAAAGTTTTTTGTGTTTTCGAGGCTTGACATCTGTGGTGTGTGGTTTCTAAGGAGAGTGCTGCTCGTCACAGAGCCCAAAACTGCATCAAACTGCTCAGTCCAACAGACGGTAAACGATTGAGGAATATTCCATCGTGAATCATGTTGTAAAGCGGCTACTCACTTAAATCATGATACAACTTTGTTTCAAATGTAATTAATTACATACATTATGCTTTTAATAACAAATTACTAACCAGCAGTGTTGGGAAAGGTACTTCAAAAATGTAAAACTTTATGTATTACTTGTTACTGTTATGTGTTACACACTACAATATTACTGTCTATGAAGATAAGAAAACATAATTTATTTGTCTCACAGTGGGGAGATTTCAATGTTGCAGTGCACATACAGGACAGTAGCCAGAGCACACAGGGAGCAAACAAAATATCTATATGAATTGTAAAGCATTACACTCCAACTGCATTATTTTTAAGTGACTTTCACCAAGTAAACATCTACATATGTAGCCTATTATTCTATTGCGTGAGGTTGATGGAGTATTTGGTTTTGCACATGAACCATCATGAAAAAATTCTATTGTCCAACATAGTGCCTGCTTCTGCTTCAGCTTGTCATCTTCTACCAAAATCTACCATGTCTTGTGGTGGCATAGTATAAAACAAAACACAATTTAATTTTGGGTTAAAATGGAATGTAACTCACGTCACTGATTTTTGTACAACCCTAACCCTAGGTAAAAGAATGCCCTACAATACCACGTTAAAGCAAAACGCAATACAGTACAGTAATTACATTACATTTGTATTGCGTTACTCCCAGCACTGCAAACCCATCTACGTAATATCAGAAAATACCTTCTCTGCACTCCACTCCTACAAATCCAGGACAGCATCTCCACTCCAGAGCAGTGACCTGCTTATAGGCGGTCTTAAAGGATGGTCTGATAACAGTTCTATAGCTGTGGAAACAACAAAAGATTAATGTGTTAACGTTAAACATAAATGATACTGATATGAATGTGAACAGACCAATGCCATTATCCCACCTGACAACTTTGGGGCAGGGTCCAGGCCATCTACAACTCTGAACCACTCTTTGCACTGAAGTCTCAGTTCCATTATGCACTTGACAAGTGACCGTCTTAGAAACTGTATACTGACACCAGTTCCTGAAAACATTTAAACATTGTTATTGAACTTTTACAAGCCCCTAAAACTGGATACACCATGCCCATGATACTATTCCCATAGTATTTGTGTACAATCCGATACATCCAGTGTTGGATGTATCTGTATCTGCAACTATAGTTACTGCAATACATTCCTTTTTGAAGTAATTCAGTTGTGTAAATTCACAAATAATACGTTTGGTAATATATATTACAAGTTACAATCAATGTAACTCAAGTTACATGCTGATCTAATTTAGACAAAAAGATGAGTGGAAAAAGAAGCTGTTTACAATCTGAAACAGCAGAAATATTTCAAACACAACTCAAACATTTATCAGTATGTTTTAAACAAAATAGTAGTATGTCATAATACAACTTTGAAGTACTTTGCCCAACGCTGGATAACTATTCCAAAAGGAGAGATCCTCACCTGAGCTGCGTACGGGACCCCGGGGGTCCTGTGCTGGTCTGCTCTGACTTGATGCGCGGACGAGGCAAAGTGATGCTTGGAATATGATAAACAATCCCAGTTCCTACAGAGGAGCACACTATAGTCATCCATATGCACAAAGCAAAAATAGTAGATAGAGCCACCATGTTTCTTGTCCAGAACGATGCTCAAACAAAGCCTCTTGCGCCAGCTCCTCCTTGACAAATAAGAAACACAACTGAGGAGAGCATGACGTTTCTCACACGCAGAGTACTCCGTTTTCTTCCCACCGACACAAACCAGTCCAACAGAAGCGCAGCATCCATATGTCATAGCCCAAAACAGTTACACACATGGGTATAATAAAACCATGGATGAAAAGTGTATGATCATAAGTTTAAGCACAAAGACAGACTGAACCCCCTGAACAAACCGTGGTAATTTTCAGAAAACCTGAACAACTTTCAGCTAAATATCTTCCCTAACGAACTCATTTATTTTGTTTAAACATTATGAGTCATTAAAAACTACACATATTCCTGTTGAAGGGACATTTATTGTATTTAATCCTGAACATAAACTGAGAGGGGCTGTGTTGCAGAACGGCGCCCTCTGCTGGCGCAGGAGAGCAGCGCAAACACGTGAAGGAGACGTGTCCCGTTCACTGATGGAGGCTGAACGCACGCTCAATATGGGAGACGAGGTGGACGAGGAAATGGCTGTATCTATGTTAGAACCGTACATTGAATCTCTTCGTCAACAACTGGATCAACAGGATCCAGTGTTCCTCATTGCAATTATCGTTGCTTTAGCAGTTATTATTATCACGTGTGGTAAGAATGTTTTCATTTATCAGCATGCTAACTTTAGCTAACTCGGCTAGGCTAAGGTGTTAGCAGCACCCTTCAAGGTTTATGGTTTAACCATGGGGGTTTAACGTTAAATGTTGAATGGGATTTTATAGCGGCATTCATTTTTAAAGATTAGCGTTAATTGCAACCGATCTGGAGTTATGTATTTTTAATGTAGCGACTATGTCCGTGTTGCACATGTAATGCTGGCTTTGGCTACATGATCCAACATTTAAGGTAACGTTTTCGTTGCTCTTTTGTTTCAGTCTTTCTCAAATACTTTCTCACAAGTAAAACTGTCCAGAGTTCGGTGTTATTGGTCGGACTGTGCGATTCAGGGAAAACTCTCCTCTTCAGCCGGGTAAAGATCATCCACATCACACTAATGTAGTTACATTAGTAATAAGAACGAAGGATTAAGTCTGAGTTTATGTTGCATTACAGCTACTGTCAGGAAAGTTTAAACGAACCCAGACCTCCATCACTGACAGTAGTGCTCCATACAAAACCAAAAGTGACAAGGTAAGATCCTGTGTTTGAGGCAAACATTTGGAGCACTTGATTAATCTTCTTTTCTCTTTCAGAGCAGCACCTGGACCCTCATAGATCTTCCGGGACATGACAGTCTTCGCCCCCAGTACCTCGAAAAGTTCAAGTCTGCAGCCAGGTAAGATCTTATCGAGTTAGACTGGGAAAAGCATGTATAATACATAAAGTGAATTTCTATAATTGTCTACCACTATAGTGCAGTGTGTAAATGTCTATAATTTGTATGTATTTTTTATTTTCAGAGCCATTGTCTTTGTAGTTGACAGTGCCATATTCCAAAAAGAGGTCCGAGATGTGGCTGAATTTCTGTATGTGCTGTTGACTGACAACATAATTTACAGAAACGTTCCAGCCATTTTTGTAGCATGCAACAAACAAGGTAAAACATTTCTTTGCCATTGATAATTTGCTATATTCTGCATAAATCCCGTCTGTTCTTCAGACATCCCCATGGCAAAATCTGCCAAGCTGATTCAACAACAACTGGAAAAGGAAATGTACGTTTTAATCCATTCATCATCTTTCTACCTATCATGTCTCAATGTTTAAATCTTTTTGTTTGTTTACAGGAACACACTGCGGGTGACTCGGTCTGCAGCTCTAAGCTCACAGGATGGCTCTATTGGTGGAAGTGTGTACCTGGGAAAGAAGGGGAAGGACTTTGAGTTCAGCCAGCTGCCCATGAAGGTGGAGTTTGTGGAGTGTAGTGCCCGTGGCATCAAAGAGGAGGGGGATGGAGATATTGAAAAGCTGGAGAAAAGCCTGGCTAAGTTGTGATAAAATTTCGGATCGTCAGTCTCCTTACAAGAAAGCTAAAACATACGTTTAATGAGTGAAAACATTTTTATATGGATTTTTGGTGGTACTGTGAACATCTCCTACAGACAAATTTTCCATGTCTATCAACTATCTTGAGTACTTGGCGCAACTTATTTTTGTAAACATTTAAAATAAAAGACAAAGGACCTTAATTCAAAAACAATTCAAAAGGTTCAACTCTTGACTAGTGCCTTTTTGCTGCTTTGGTAAAGTTATTTTGAAGTGAAAGTGTGAGGTGTAAAAGTGATTGTATTTACTACAACATGTAATGTTATTAATTAAAAATGGAAAATAATCTTGTGACGTGGGATAATTACTGTCATAATGAAATGATTTGGATACGTTGCCATTCTGTTAATGTTGATGAATCATGTAGGACTTTCTACTATATAAAAAAATCTGCCTCCATATAATCTGCAAACAATTTTTTAAAACAAAGTTCTGGCAAAAATATTCAAATATCTATTATGTACTTAGTGAGTATACAGCAAGAGTAGAGCTTTGATCAGAAACTATCACACTTGGCTCCCCCTTCAGAACAGCTGGACAAAGCCAGTTCACCTTGTCTCCATGGTCGATTCTAAGTTTGAGCTCAGAGTCAATTTTTTCTGTCTGAGCTGTAGCTTGATCATCTTTGCTGATGTTTTCTGCTTCAACCTGTACTGACGCTGTGTCTTGTTTTTTGGGCTTAGCTTTGATTTTGCGCTTTTTGCGTTTCTCGTCATTTTCTTGTGATTGGGGTTTCGATTTCCCCTCCACCACAGGGTGTTTACTGAGATCCCACAAGGCCACATGTCCATCATTACCCCCACTAATTAGCCAGTATGGGTGAGACAAAAAGTTCACAAAATGGGCCTGAGAGGCTCCCTGACTGTGGGCTTTGACGGCTCCTTGTTGCTCAAGTTTGGATCCACCACCAATTCGCATCAGATGAAGTTGTCCATCTTCAGCAGCACAGCTTACAATATTTCCGCAGCTGGACACCGTAACACAATGAGCCAGCGGGGGATTGAAGAGCTGACCAGGCTGCTGTTGGTGTCCCTCCTCTTCCAACATGTCCTGAAGGTTGAGTATCCACATTGGCCGGGTCTTTTGTAAACCCCAAAGTATGACCTAGGCACCCAAAAAAAAGTTACAATATATAGCAATAATTTAACAAATATAATGCTAATCACACACCTGCATGTCTAGCCCTACAGACACAAGGTTGTTGGGTCTTTGTGGACGGAAAGCCACAGAGGAGCAAATGTTGGTATGTCTGCGTAAGGTTCGGCACACTTTCCCTCCCGGTAAATCCAGAATACGGACCGCTCCAGAATCATCAGCCACAGCGACAGCTGAGCAGGTCTCGTTCAGTGCAAGAGCATTGATCTCCTCATTCCCTACATCTTCAAACTCCTCCACAGTGCTCCCCAGATTTCTGTAGTCCACCACACTCACAGTCTCTCCATGGGACACATACAGCTGTGCTGAAGCAGAGGGGGAGAAGACCAGACTAGTACAGTCCTCTTTACTGCATAGCTGCAGACTTCCAACTTTGCTGCCGTCCTGGTTCCAGACTGTTATCTGTCCACCCTCTGATCCTGAGGCAACAAGTCCCTCTGGACCAGGAGCAGCATCTATACAGAGAATAGGTGAAGTGTGACCCCCACACCACTGTCTTGCTAAGTTCATCCTAAAAACACAACATTAGATGATCAGACTTTTGACATTTGCAAGAGTTTGGCAGACTATAAGATAGTGTATTATTCTGACATCCGTTACACATCAACAATACTTGAAAGGCATCTTCCTAAATTGTAGAAAATATGACCTACGAGAACTGATATATTCATATTATCAATGTTTTATTCAGAGTTGAAAAATAAATAAACCATGTAAATCAATGTGAAGCATATGCTTTGATACCACAATGCGCCGCCACAAGATAAACCTGCAACGTGTCTAGATGGAGGTTGAAAAAAATACGTAAAAACAGACACTGAAAAGTTACATAGTGCTTCTTTAGTCTCGTCGAGGCTTTACTTGTGCAAGGAACGTACACACAATATAAGATTGATATGGTCGCTATGGCTAATTTAATTTGTTTCGGGGCATTTTACTTTAAGTCATTGTAAGTCTTTATCATGGATCTACTCACTCAAGTGTCACGAATGTAGATGTACAATCGATGAAAAGGGCAGAAAGCGATCAAAACAATATGAGGGTTTATGATGTGGATTAATCCAGGATTCTGTTCTATATAATTGGGAATTGGCATTAATGAATACGATGGAAAAACGTCAATTGGATCGCAAGAATGTAATTTAAATAGATGAAAACCAAAAGCAAAATTATCTTCGGACTTGCTGGCCCCGGCCATGGACTGTAATGTGCTGGCTCACACGGAGTCGCTTATTGATGACGAAACATGTTGTGACATGAGTTTCCACGCCTCCTCCTGACAGTATTTACCACAGACATATAAAGTATTATATGCTATTTACAGTATGCTCCCTGTGAGTGAGGAACAATTGCAGTCAAGTAAAGGTTTTTAGCAAACAAATCCAGGTGTGGTCATTGTTGAGGCTGTCATTTATTGCTCATGTTACCAATAGGTTATTTCCTCTCTGCTGCTGTCAAACTGTACAATGAACAATGAACAATGAACAAAGACTGACAAAGATTGCGGACCACACATGTCAGACATCTGTACAATGACTTGTAAAACCTATTGATTTATTAGGTTTTTAAAACCAAATAGAGTTACCTCATCTTTATTACTTATACACACAAGTATTCATGTTATTTGAACTATGTATATGGTTTAATATATATATTTTTTTTTCATCCACTTATGAATATTTGTGTGCTCTTTGATGCCTGTGGGACGAATCAAGGATCTTCTTCAGTATTTTCTGCATGTTTACGCTCATTAACATTTTCACCAATTTCAACTAATCATACCTAGTTTTGGCAGGCGTAAGTATTTACTTGATTTTTTTCCTTTTGACTTTGACTTTAGGCCACTTTTACAGACTTGCTCCTTTCCACACTTTATTACACATTCAACACATTACTAACAGTTCCTCTTTCAACACATTAGTGGCAGACCTTCTTCAATTATGCACTCACTCAGTTTCTTGTAAATGTTCTTATACTTCTGTTCACATTGGGTGTGAATTGAAGGCTGACCATGATTCGTATCAAGTCACTTTGAAAAAGTAAATGTAAAAATGTACAATACTTAAAGTTATACTAATACTTAGAGAAAATAACTGGGTCACATTACTTTAAGATTACTTTCGTCATAATAAATACAGTTTATTTATAAAAGGTAAAGAGCAATAAGTAACTATGTCCATGTAACACACACAGACATATCCTTAAATAATAATAAATAAATAATAATAATAGTAATAGTAAAAACCTTTATATAACATAAATCATGTGTAAACTCCCTCATGAGCAGTGTTCATTGTAGAAGCTGACAGCAGCCGAGATAAGTAGTAAAAGATCCCTTAAAGAACTCTGTGGCCAAATCTAATAACAAATATGCTCTCGCAAGATGCTTCTCACAGAACATTTTGGCTCAAAATAAATAAAATTGCATTTTGTACACTAAAGCCTCTTTCAAAAATGCATTAAATCTCAAAATCTACAGGGAATGCCCCATAATGCTTCAGGGATCTGTTTGACAAAGGGTAGATGAATGCATCAACTTTGCTGGAAAATAATAAAATAATAAATATTACTACTTAATACAATAGTATAATATGAGGGTGCAAAACTGTGGACTCAATAAAACAAAGGCCACATTCAGTGGTTCTTAATGAATAAGAAAGGACTAAGAGTGAGCCAGATCATTAAACCATGTCCCAGCTATCCTCTCTCTACAAAGGCCACTCTTGCCGACTCATCCAAAGCTGTAGATCTGATGAGTGTGGCCCTTTCTAGGTCAATGAACAGCCCTTCTGCTTTAGTGAATAGGGCTCAGAGAAGGGGCCACAGTCCCAAAACACACAATTACTCAGAATGAATACACACACACACACACACACACACACACACACACACAGTATTTTGACTGCTGCAGAGACTGAAGTCGCAAAAACTGGTAAGTGTAAACTTATCAGGAAGTGTCCTAACGGTTTGTGGTCATTTCAGTCGTTTTAGAGTTGAAGATAGCATAGCCTGAAGCAGCTATAGGGCTAGAAACAGTCCTATTGCTGCTTCATAAAGTCCTATTTTACTTTATTTTCATATAGATCTTATTTTAACTGCCTTTTGATCATTTGGAATATTATAGTTAATAATAATTAACTTTTTGTACATGATGTACTGTGTAGTTGAAGATCTATTCAGGACCGACTTTTTGAAGAATATTCCAGCTCATCTTACACCATGAAGTCCCCATATTATCCTGCAAGATCTGTGCTTTTCCACAAGGAGCCTAATGGAGTTACATACAGGATCCCTGCACTGCTCTGTGTGTCCCGGCACAAAACTCTGCTGGCTTTCTGTGAAGAGAGACTCAGCCCCTCGGACTCCCAGGCTCATCTGCTCGTTATGAGGAAAGGCATCTTTCACAGGAATTATGTAGAGGTTTGATTTTGCTTGTCTTTTACTTGTTAAAAACGACTTTACCGGCACTTATTTTTCAATTAATTTACTACAGACCATTAACATCTTATACAAGTAGTTTAATTACAATTACTTGCAGTGCACTTGCCTTACGCCAGGGGTACCTACTTTTTCCTTGCATTAATAGTGCATGTAGGTTGTGCCCAAAAGTAAAATGTTGTGAACAAATCAGACCACAACAGGAGGTCTTCCTTTTATTACATGTCACTTCAAAAAACACCCTTGAGTCACCAATTTACTTTTTGGGCCAAGAGTGGCTTCACTGAGCCGATATACAGATGGGGCAAAAAAGTATTTAGACAGCCACCAATTGTGCAACTTCTTCCACTTATAAAGGGAGGCCTGTAATTTTCATCATTGGTATACCTCAACTATGAGAGACAGAATGAGATTTTTAAAGATCCAAAAAATCACATTGTTTGATTTTTTGAGAATTTATTAATGCAAATTATGATGGAAACGTATTTGGTCAATAACAAAAGTTCATATCAATACTTTGTTGTATCCCCTTTGTTGGCAATGACAGAGCTAAAAAATGTTCTGTCTTTACAAGGTTTTCACACACTGTTGCTGGTATTTTGGCCCATTCCTCCATCATGTTTTGGGGCTGTCGCTGGGCAACACAAACTTTCAACTCCCTCCAAATATTTTTTATCGAGTTGAGATCTGGAGACTGGCGAGGCCACTCCAGGACATTGAAATGCTTCTTACAAAGCCATTCCTTCGTTGCCCGGGCGGTGTGTGTGGGATCATTGTCATGCTGAAGGACCCAGCCACGTTTCATCTTCAATGCCCTTGCTGATGGAAGGAGGTTTTTGTTCAAAATCTATACATGGCCCCATTAATTCTTTCCTTTACACGGATCAGTCGTCCTGGTCCTTTTTCAGAAAAACAGCCCCAAAGCATGACGTTTCCAACCCCATGCTTCACAGTAGGTATGGTGTTCATTTAGAGGCCACTCTCCTCCAAACATGACGAGTTGAGTTTTTACCAAAAAGTTCTATTTTCATTTGACCATATGACATTCTCCCAGTCCCCTTCCGGATCATCCAAATGCTCTCTGGCAAACTTCAGACGGGCCTGGACATGCACTGGCTTCAGCAGGGGGACACGTCTGGCACTGCAGGATTTGATTCCCTGTCGTCGTAGTGTGTTACTGATGGTAACCTTTGTTACTTTGGTCCCAGCTCTCTGCAGGTCATTCACCAGGTTCCCCCGTGTGGTTCTGGGATTTTTGCTCACCTTTCTTGTAATCAATTTAACCCCATGGAGTGAGATCTTGCGTGGAGCCCAAGATCAAGGGAGATTATCAGTGGTCTTCTATGTCTTCCATTTTCTAACTAATTGCTCCCACAGTTCATTTCTTCACACAAAGCTGTTTACCTATTGCAGATTCAGTCTTCCCAGCCTGGTGCAAGTCTACAATTTTGTTTCTGGTGTTCTTTGACAGCTCTTTGGTCTTGGCCGTAGTGAAGTTTGGAGTGTGAGTGTTTGATGTTGTGGACAGGTGTCTTTCATACAGGTATCGAGTGGAGCCCCTTAAAGAAGGAGTGACAGGTCTGTGACATCTTTGTTTGTTTGTAGGTGACCAAATTATCTTATCTTTTAAAAAAAGTGATATTCTGGATATTTGTTTCATGAAAATTACAGGCCTCCCTCATCTTTTTAAGTGGGATAACGTGCACAATTGATGGCTGACTAAGTACTTTTTTGCCCCACTGTAAGTCCATTGGTCCATTACTAATTACTTCAGATATCAGATCCTCCTATTATCTCTATGTGTCAATAAAGGTAAACGCTATGAACAAACTGCTGTTTGTTCATTGATCCCTCTTTTCAAAGTTGATCAAATGTAGTTGTTTTTGTGACCAAGGCTCACCCATAATGTGTGATGTGTCCTTCAGGCTATTCTTTTTATGCAATTAATGTTCTCAAAAATAGAATATTTTCTATAACATAAAATATAAAGCACACAATGATTCTAGCCATTGTGTTTTTTTTCAGTGGGGGGACATGCATGTTTTGAGTACAGCGTTCTTACCTGGTCATAGATCTATGAATCCCTGTCCAGTGCATGATGAGTTCACCGGGACAGTCTTCCTGTTCTTCATTGCCGTATTGGGTCACACGTCGGAAGCAAATCAGTTGATAACTGGTAAAAATGTGACACGTCTCTGCTACATCTCCAGCACAGACAACGGCGATACCTGGAGCCCTGTCACTGATCTCACACAAACTGTGATCGGAGAAACTATTAAAGGTCTGTATCCTAATCTCAATAACTTATTGGAACAATCTTGGTAGTAATTTGCACTTGTTTTGTTCTAGAGTGGGCCACCTTTGCTCTTGGCCCAGGTCATGGCATTCAGTTGAAATCTGGGCGCCTGCTGATTCCTGCCTATGCTTACTTTATTGAATGCAAAGAGTGCTTTGGACAGGTCTGCCAGACGACGCCCCATGCCTTCTGCTTCCACAGTGACACCCATGGGCGAACATGGCGCTTTGGGGAGGGCGTGCCGGGACCAGAGAGTGTGGAGTGCCAGCTGGTGTCTGTGGATGAGGAGGAAGGCACCAACATACTGTACTGTAACGCTCGCAGTACACTTGGCTACAGGGTGCAGGCCGTTAGTCTGGATGATGGGGCAGTGTTTCAGGAGGGCCAGCTTATCCCAGGTCTAGTGGAGCCTCGAAATGGGTGTCATGGAAGTATAGTGGGATTCCCTGCCCCTTTACATTTGCACAATTCAATCGCCAACCTTACCAGTCAACGCTCTCGCCACTTGAAACATGTTTTTGACTGTGTAGATTCAACCTATCTGTTAGAAAACACTTCACAAGCCACAAACCTGCCTTCAAATTTTCTGACACCCACCTGGGTAGTTTACTGCCACCCAACATGGAACACTGCTCGTAAAGACCTGGGTGTATTCTTGAGCCCGTTTCCCCGAGACCCAGACAGCTGGCGTGGCCCCTGGGTCATTTACGATGGTCCCAGTGCTTACTCAGACTTGGCCTATCTGGAGCTTTCCCCATCTCCTCAAACTCCACCCGCAGTGGCTTTTGCCTGTCTGTTTGAGTGCGGCACAAACACTGCTTATGATCAAATCTGCTTTAGCATCTTTACTCTGTATGAAGTCATAGACAATCTACCGTACTACACACACCCTGTGCCAACAGGCAATAAGCACAAACATGAAATGGGAACTCAGTGTGAAGAGAAAAAAAAAAGAAAAGGCAAAATAAGAGAGCTTTGCACCATTTTTTAAGTCATATTTTTTGTCATTTCTGTTGGAATGGATTTAACAGATAATTGGCCACTGCATACCAATTATAGAAGTACTCAAATTTTTAAGTAGAACATACAGATGGAAAATGCTTGCTCCATCTGTATAAACAAGATAAACAAGTGCCAGGACAGCTGGATGTTCTCGATCTCCTTGTTTTTGCAACACTCCCTCCTGTCTTTAGCATAACACTGGAGGAAGGACAGTTTCTGCGCCATTAGCAGAGCGGTTTTTCATAAATATGGGTCTACAAACCATCATTTCATTGGCACTGGTGACATGGACAATGGGAAATGCCAATATTACCCAAAAACCTGAAGAATTAATGGACAACTTTCCAGTCACAGCAAAGGTCAGCCAAGACTTTGAGGAGTCTTGTTTTACTTTTCATCTTGACAGCTGAAAAAATACTTTGAATACTTTGGTGCCAATTCTTATAAAACATGTAGTTTTTATTATTCTAATCATACATTAAGAACAACTTTTGGAAATAAAAGCATATGTATTTGTCATAAAAATGTTGTACATAGTACAAAAGCCAACATAACCTCAGGTTTTCTATGACACATAAAAGATACTGTATATACTTGTTCAGTTAATGGTATTAGAATGAAAGCGTTATCACAAGACCATCAAACTTTTGTTTGTCTTTTCAATGGAAGCGGAGACCATGATGTACTTCAATAATAAATTAGAATTCATTGTCCAAAGTGTCCTTTTAGTTCTTCCATTTGTTCTTTTTCGCAGGGAGCTGACCTGTAGCCTCTAAGTATTTGTGAACAAGTTCCTCTTGCGTTGCAGGCAAACACGGCTGGTATCGACTGTATTCCATGGTATACTCTCCTTTACCCTAAAAGGGATTAACGTTTAAATGTAATAAACGTACTTTTTTCTTTGTTGTAAATGTATATCTTTAATATAACTCTACATTGATATGATCGTTTACATACCTCTGTGCAAGAGCGAAGCTCAGATGCATAACCAAACATGTCATTGAGTGGAACCTGTAAAATGGTTTAACAGTTATTAACTGATTCAAGAGGTGAATAAGTAAATGAGCATAATGATTTGACATACATCAGCGTACAAAGTGAAGTATCCTTCTGTCCCATCCTGTCCTGAGATGACCCCATGACGCCGGTTTATTCCAGAGATGACTGTGCCCTGGAACTCTTGTGGAGCGACTATTTCCACAGCCATGATGGGCTCAAGGATCACAGCTGTGGCCTTCCTCATGGCTGTGAAAAAGACTCATTTTAGCCTCACACAGTTTAGCATCCTAAATACAAGAAACGTCCAATGTACCTTGTTTCAAAGCCCCTTCTCCTGCGCGAATGAAGGAAATCTCATTTGAATCCACCATGTGGTTGGCTCCATCCTCCAACACAAACCGCACTCCGGATATTTTGTGTCCACTCAGAGGCCCCTTTTCACACGAGTCTCTGAAGCCCTGTGGAAGGACAGAAGGTCAGTGTCCAGGCCACTACACATAGACTCAAAGTGATCTACCTTCTCTATAGCGGGAACAAACTGCTTTGGTACATTTGTTCCAACCGTCTGATCGTCAAACTCCAGCTTTGTGGAGTGCTCAGAATCCAAAGGTTCGAGAACCCCAATAACTTTACCATATTGCCCCGAGCCTCCACTCTGCTTCTTATGGGTGAAGTCAAACCTACAGACAATTGCAAACATTAGAAATGTTGTTCTAAAAATTTAGTAAACCCACATGTTAATGTTGAAGAAGGAGAAGATGGCAAAGTTTGAAATGTATATTATAATTACCCAAGAGTTAAACTCTTACACATGCTTTTTTACATTGCACACACGCACAGTAAAATAGCATGTGCAATTTTAGTAGTTTGATTCTATCTCTGCATGAGCATAGATCCGTATGCGCCGATGTTCATATATTTTGCCCACACACAAACACGTAATAAACATATCCATTAATGGGGTCCACCTTGACCCAGACTCGACCTCATTCCCCCCAGAAGTGACCCCTGGTCAAGAAGCAAATTTACTCTTCTCAAAGTAATTGACTATTTTTACGCCAACTTAAACCTGGTGTTTCCTGACTAATAGTCGTCAAAGTCAATGGCCAAGAAAGTAAAGATGAAAAGTGCATGTCTCTTTAAATGAGGGCAGGGCCTTGAATATAGGAAGTAGGAAGCAAATGTTCACATGCACAAGTTGGAGCTGACAGACGCAGGCTGCTGGAGTGTCCATAAAAGAGGATCAGGTCAATATGATGATGATGATAAATGTAGCAGGCTGCTGTGTGTTTATATTTATTTATTATACCTGCAAATTTAACTGTCGTGATCTAGTTATTATAAATTCTAACCCATGACAGCATTTCTGTGTATAAAGTGTACCTCAACCTATGCAGTGCTATCTTATGGTCAAAGTCCGTTCCAGTTAAGGTGTGATTTCTCTATAATGTGCCCTTGCTTTATCTGAACAGATCATTGTGGAAACAGAGGGATCAGAGGAGGAGGTGATGGAGACGACTGGAGAACTGAACCCTAATCATTACCCAGCACAAAGGGCCGCGAACGCAGCGCGGCACTATGTCAACACCCGCTATGGCTCCCCTTATAAAGTCTTTATGCTCCACAAGGTCCACAGTGGAAACGCAGAGGTGAGGACTCTACGAACACTAACAGAATCAATTGACATTTTGTCAATAAAATGACAATTGGACATTTCAGGACGTGGCCAATGGAAGAAAGTATCAATTGGAAATTTCATTTCAAGAAATGCTCAGTAATGTAAGTAACGTTTGAGTTTTAGATTTCCAAATGCAGTAGAAAAGAATCGAGAAGGCAACTACCTGTAATTGTGCTATGGACATTTTAAAGCCTCACTTAAGTCTCCTTGCAACACTGGTAACAACGAGTCAAAAGCTACACGCCTTTCACAAGTACTTTGTTACTGACACATTACGTAACCGACCTAAGCCGGGCTGATTTATTATGGCAAAAATTCCATTACCACCTTCTGACAAACACAAATTGGACTAGAACTAGAACATGCACTTGGAAAGCAGGTACCGGCACCAACACCACAGATCATCTCAAAATGTAAACCCATTCACACACTATTTAAGTATCAAATATACTATTAACTACTGAGTTTTTATACACAAGTGTTAGACGCATATTATTTCTGCTTAAGGTTTGCATGTAATTGTAATTGAACCAGAAAGAGCTCTTGATTGAGGTGCCTACATAACAGCTCTAAGTATTCATTACCATTATGTTTTTAGAACACCTACAAAGGCTCTGCAGAGGTGTTGTATCCAAGAGAAGGACCAGGTTCACCTGAAGTGAAGGTGTCGTGTGCAGAGCTCGAAGCATATCACAAAACACAGGAGGAAGAAGCTTTGTACCAAAAACTGAAGACTAGTGTTAGCATGCTGTCAGCGCAGGAGTTGCCTGGTATCTAACTTTTTTCTGTTTGAACAAGGACCATTATGGTTTTCATTGTTTCTCATTTAAATCAGACCGGTTTCCTCACTAGATAGTCACGGCCGCATAGAGCCGGACATGGAGCCTCTGTGGTCCCTGGGAATAGTGGCTTCAAGCTTCATCATGTTGAAAGAATCCACTGAGGATACTCTGTATAACATGGCTCAGGTCGGCAGTGTCACACAAGTGGTAAGTCATTGTTTTATATAAGTTATAAAACATGACTAAATGTACAGAATATAGGGCAACTGGTTAACTAAACTTTATTTCATGTCATCTCTTGTAGTTCACTGAGACAGTCGAGCTGAAGTTTGACTATTTGGTATTACTTCATGATATGGTGTCGCAGGTATTTACTCTTACATTTTATTACGTTGATTTTGAAATTGTTACTTGTGCTCAATGCCCCTCATCTACTTTCAGGAAATTATTCGTTGGAAATTGCAGTTCGGTTGGTCACCTCTAGGGGGCGTTAAAGTACAGCAGATGGAAAAAATACCGCACCGCCACACTTAAATAAATGTAACAATTATATCTTTGTGTGGCACAAATGAGAATAAAAATTTACTCACGGCACAGGGCTGGTAATCGTCTCCCTAAATGCCACTTTAGGCTTTCCCATCACACAAGGGCAGTTGTATTCCCGCTCCATTCTCTGAAACATTAATTTATCATGGAGTTGTAATATTACTTCAGAAACATTTTATACAATAACAATGTGAATTATGATGATAACCTGTGAGTATATTTCTAAATGCAGCTCCCCCATTCCTGAGATAATAGTTTCTTTGCTCTCTGTATCAAAAGCCACTCTAAACGTTGGGTCTTCTCTGGTGAAACGATTGATGCCTTTGGAAAACTTATCCAGGTCATTCTAACACAAAGAGACATTTTAGTGTACAAGCATTTAGCATTTAGTTCTTTGCTTTTTATTTTAAAACTATACCTTATTGACTGGTTTCATGGACATGGAGATGACAGGATCTGGGACGTGAATCGATTCCTGTTAGACGTAAATGGAAACTCAAACTTAAAATTGTTAGGAAAAAGAGGTGACACGACAAATAACAATCTACAAAGATTATTCTAAAAACATCAAAGGCGTTTTTACCATGGAAAGGTTTGCGCTGCTCTTTGATGTGAAAGTGTCTCCGCTTGCACAGTCGATCCCAAAGAGCGCACAAATGTCACCTGCATAAACCTCGTCAACATCCTAGAAACATTGAATGAAAAATCACAATATTGACTTATGAAAATTATGCAATCGTACACAATATTTTGGGGCATTATTATTTTTGTTCGCACCAGGAGAGATTTTTCTTCTTAGTATATGATCATTCTTTTTGTGGCTGTTGAAAAATGACTTTTATGGTAAATTATAGGTTCCTTCTGTAATTCCTTTCTTGCCGGTCATGTCTTTTAAATCATGCATTATTTGTTCCTTATCTAAAGTAAATGTAGTCAGTTTTATAAACTATCACAATTTGGTTTTCAGCGATACTGTAAAAGTTGTTATGACAGAAAGGAGGGATTTAGCCTGACATCATGAATCAATATTCATGATCTGATGCCTGTTGGTGAAATATTTTTGTTTGTAAAATGCAGCAATTGTAGGTTTGCAAGAAGAGATTTCCACATTATGCGGTTAAATGGATTATAGTGGTTATTCAGGCCAATACATAAAATTCAAATAGTCTATTGATCTTATGTGTTCTTTCCCTCTTCTTTCTATGCCATTAACGTTGGGTTATCTTGCAAAGTTTGATTCATTGTTTCTTTGTTGATCATTTAAAGCTGGAATACCACTAAGTTTCCCATCACTAATAAAATCCATGTAACTAGTTCCTGTGACAGTTTGGTTGTATCGCTAGTTTTCAGCTGCATATATTTTTGTTGGGGTCTTGTCATATTTTAGATCAGCTTTTTCAAACAGAACAACAGACAGATGAACAAAAAGGAACCCAAATATACAAGTAGTTCTCCAGAATGAATAGTTTCTGGTTCTCACCTCCATCTGGTCTGCATGGAGTCGCACTAATCTCTGCACTCGCACTCTCTTGTTAGTTCTTGTGTTGTAGATGTATTCCCCCTTCTTCAGACAGCCTTGGTACACACGGACATAAGTTAACTGGCCAAATCGTCCAGCCTAAAAAGAAACAGGGGTTAATAAAAGGAAAGGAGGGGATAAACCAGAGTAACTGACTATATTACCTCAAGTTTGAAAGCCAGACCAACATATGGATTTGCAGCATCTCTAGCAGGGTCCATTAAAATTTTGGATTTATCACTTGAATCTCTAAAGAAGACAAAACCATTATTAATACATTGTGTCTAGCGATTGGCTATAAAAATGCCACTGTATTATATGAGCTCATAATACTTACTCGTCGTTGTGTATTGCATAGTTTTTCACTTCTGTTGGATTTGGCAGATAGTCTAACACAGCGTCCAAGAGAGGTTGCACACCTTTGTTCTTCAGTGCTGTTCCCACCAACACAGGTGTGAAAAGGCGCTGCACCGTGGCCCTGCGTATAGCAGCCTACACGACAATCAGGAAACCAGTATGTTTATACAACATTTACACCCAATCAACAGCAGAGCAGAGCAAAACAAACAAAATAAAGGATAGGATACCAATACAATAAACAATTTGGGAATACTTGAATTATTAAATATTAGAATTGCTACAAGCCTTCAGGTCATTGATGGTTGGGGTTTGTTCTTCCAGAAACATTTCCCCCAAAATCTCATCAGCATTGGCCACACATTCCACAAGTTCCTGCCTTCGCTCTTCTGCTTCAGCGCGAAAATCAGCAGGGATTTCATCATAACGAATATCCTGACTGTGAGATGAATGAAGCAATTGAACCTCTCTCAAATCATCAAAAGGTTGTAGACAAACATTTACTCACCCAAAAGGTCCGTCAAAATACATGCTACGCTCCTCAATCAGGTCTATGATACCCTTCATATTCCCCTCAAGCCCCATGGGGATGTTCATAAAAGCAGCATTGTGATTAAGCTTGGTCCTGGAAAGAAAACCAAAATTAGCCTAATGGTTCATTTAGAAATTAAATTTTTTGCAGTGCACTATGTGCCTCATCTGATGCAAGGCTCGATAAGGATTGGCCCCCATTCGGTCGAGCTTGTTAATAAAGGTGAGGAATGGGACGTCATAGCGTTTCATCTGTCTGTTGACCGTCATGGTCTGACACTGTACTCCTCCGACAGCGCACAGAACCAATACAGCTCCATCCAACACTCGAAGAGCTCGCTCAACCTCAATGGTGAAATCAACGTGACCTTCAAAAAACAGATTTCTACATAAATACTTTAAACATAAATGAAATGTTTTAAAAGGAAATTGTGACCATTTATTTTTCAAAGATTGAATGTTACAAATAAAAACGCCTCTCCATTAAGTGCTTTTGAGAGAGTGTCTCAGTACCTGGTGTATCAATTATGTTGATGTTGTGACCTTTCCACATAGTGTATGTAGCAGCTGATTGGATTGTGATGCCTCTTTGTCTCTCCAGTTCCATTGAATCCATGGTGGCTCCAACTCCATCTTTTCCTTTGACCTAAAAAAACACAATAGAAGAATAAGTTGTCTTCATAGACTGTTACAGGCAAAGAGAAAAACTGCTGTAACCTCATGAATCTCCGCTATTCTGCCAGTGTAGTACAAGACGCGCTCTGTGAGAGTGGTCTTTCCAGAATCAATGTGCGCGGAAATCCCAATGTTTCTGATTTTATCAGTGCAAATGACACCAGATGAACATGATCGAGAGTTGATTATGAAAACCTGTGAAATAACATACAGCAGTTATGAGACAGCGGACAGTGACCCGGAGCCAGGCTCTGGTGTTACGAAAGATCACCTTTTTCAAAGAGACCCTCGGTTTAGACGAAAGATGACGACTGGCGAGTGCAAGACCCGCTTGTAGAACTCTCATCTTCTGGTAATGTTTCCACACCGTGTCCGTGCGTTTATATTGTTTAAACAGCCCCTGTCTGGATGTCAACACGGGATTGTGAATGTCACACACGCCGAGGCCGGTGTGGATCTACTTCCGGGTTTTGGACGGAAAGCAGCATATTCAAATTTAAAGCGAAAGGCTTTAAATCGACCATGTGGAACAGCGCCGGGCAGCTCGGTGCAGCGGTCTAGGGTCCGAAGAAGATGAGCCGGTGACAGACCCACGCAGACGACCATACATGTGGTATCGATATTGAATTTTTATTGTCACTACATGTGTTGGCCATGGTGTTGACACATTTCTTTGATCAGATCTCATTTTCAAAGTGAACGTTCCAGTGCTCTCCGATTTGTTTTTGTCGTGGCTGTTAGAGCTGAAACGATTAGGCTAACAATAATCGAATGAATGTTGGGAATAAAATGTTTGCTCCTCGATTAACTGTTGAAAATCAAGCACTGAATTTGGTACTTGTTTCATACAAACATGTTCTATTTCATATGTTGCTTCGCCCTTTAGGCTTCGCTAATGCATATCTCTCGGAAGCATCGCTTCCCGCCCTGAGAAGATCAAACGATCCACCCTCCAATCACCTTCACGTCCTGGCGTAGGCCAGTCCCCTATAAATAGGGCCATGCACCACAGCTCTTCTCCTTTCTCTCTCAGCTTGCCTAAGAGAAGCTTCGATTCATTTGCTAGGATGTCTTCAAGCAAGATCCCCGCGCCTGAGAACTTGCCACCCTCCGGTGTCAGGCTGCGGATCTGCGACTTGTGCCCAGCGGCACTCTCCCAGACTGACCGCCACGAGTCCAGCGTCTTCTGCCTGGGCTGGCGTCGTGCCGCGGGAGAAAGCCCCAGATGTGTGGCTTGTCTCGCCGTGGATTATTTATGCCGTATAGAGTGGTGCCCTTGGTGGCATCGCTTATGGTGTGCTACCCTCTATCCACGCTGAACAGACGTATAGCTAATACACCACAGATGGTTGTCCTAGCTTAACACATCACTTTGCTCGCTTCATCCCTGGAGTGGTGCCCATGGTGGCTCGCTCATGGGGTGCTACGTTCTGCTCACGCTGGACAGGCGTAATACTACTGCGCCACAGATGGTTGCTTATTAACATCACTCTCGGTGCCCATGGTGGCTCGCTCAGGGTGTGCCTCTGCTTCACTATATCAGCCGCGAGGGGATAGGCCCATGACAGCCCATTCCCCGGCGATAGCGTATGGAGTATACGCGGGCGCGGAGGCCTGGCCTTGGCGGTCAGGCTTTCCTCCCATAGAGGATGGAGTACGCCTGTACACCAGCTTCCTACGGGGTCCCCCCCGAGCGGGGCAAGCCGGCCGTGTCCATGCTTGACAGGTGTTAGGCTTGTGCATCATAGGTCGTTGCTATGGCTTATAACATTACTCTCCTCGCTGCATCCCTCGGACAGGGACCGCTCTGCCACCCCGCACCGCTCAGAGCCAAGAGGAGACAGCAAGCGCGTGACAAGCAGAGGAGCAGCAGCCACCCCGGCTTTGCAGCTGCAAGGAGGGGAGGGAAACGCTTTAATAAAGGCCATCATCAGGCCCGTTACTCCCTCAAAGAGAACACTTCTTTCCCCTTTTCCTTATCCTCTGCCTGGAGCCTCTCTCAGCGCGCCTCTCGTGCGCGCGCTGGAGGCATGGTCCGGGACCGCTGTGCGCTCCCCGTGCCTTTGCCTCTCTTGGGCAGAGAGTGCGCGGCTGCACGCTACCCTCCTACGCTCTCTGTGCGCCACGAGCACCAGCTCACAGCTGTCCTGCCCTCACGCTGCTACCCGGTAAAAGCCAGGGCCGCAGCTAGGGCTCAGACCTTTTTCCAGCGGCCCCCCACTATCCAGAGCAATGAGTGGTACTGCTCTCCCCCCCCCCTCCTCAGTCCACAGTGTTGGGGAGCGGGGGCTCGGCTCCACGTAAGCGCAGCACACCTGCCCTCACGTGGCCACCCAGAAAAAGGGCCCAGGGCCGCAGCTAGGGCCCAGCCCTCTTCCCAGGGCCCCCCCCCACTGCAAAAAGTGGGACTGCTCGGCCCCCTATCAGTCCACAGTGTTGGGGAGCGGGGGCTCGGCTCCACGCGGCCACCCGGAGAAGGGCCCTGGGCCGCAGCTAGGGCCCAGCCCTCTTCCCAGGGGCCCCCCCACTGCAAAAAGGTGGGACTGCTCGGCCCCCTCTCAGTCCACAGTGTTGTGGAGCGGGGGCTCGGCTTCACGTAAGCGCAGCACACCTGCCCTCACGCGGCCACCTGGAAAAAGGCCCAGGGCCGCAGCTAGGGCCCAGCCCTCTTCCCAGGGGCCCCCCACTGCAAAAAGTGGGACTGCTCGGCCCCCTCTCAGTCCACAGTGTTGTGGAGCGGGGGCTCGGCTTCACGTAAGCGCAGCACACCGGCCCTCACGCGGCCACCTGGAAAAAGGCCCAGGGCCGCAGCTAGGGCCAAGCCCTCTTCCCAGGGGCCCCCCACTGTAATAAGTGGGACTGCTCGGCCCCCTCTCAGTCCACAGTGTTGGGGAGCTGGGGCCCGGCTCCACGTAAGCGCAGAACACCCGCCGTCACGCGGCCACCCGGGAAAAGGCCCAGGGCCGCAGCTAGGGCCCAGCCCTCTTTCAAGGGGCCCCCCACTGCAATAAGCGGGACTGCTCGGCCCCCTCTTGGTCCACAGTGTTGGGGAGCAGGGGCTCGGCTCCACGTAAGTGCAGCACACCTGCCCTCACGCGGCCACCCAGAGAAAGGCCCAGGGCCGTAGCTAGGGCTCAGGCCTTTTTCCCACGGGCCCCCCACTATCCGATGCCTCCCCAGGATGGGACATCTGTGGGCGGACCAGGCCTTTCTCCCTCCTCCCATCTCACTGTGCTTCCCTTGACCCATGTTGTCACTGTATCGGAACAGTCGGGGCTCCGGGGAACTCTGTGGATACACAGAGTGCTGAGTCGGGGCTATGCTCTCCAGTTCTCCTGGCGGCCCCCTCCTTTCTGCGGCATTCTCCAGACAGGGCTAGGCAGCCCGGAAAACGCCGTGGCGCTTCACAGGGAGGTCAACACGCTTCTGCAGCGCCGGGCGGTAGTGGAGGTAGACCCGCTCAGGACAGGGACAGGGTTTTACTCTCCATACTTCATAGTCCCCAAAGAATAAAAAAAAAAAAAACAAAAAAAAGTGCGGAGGGGTGCGGGCCATGCTGGACCTGCTCGTCCTCAATGGCTGCATAGCCAAGCGACTGATTCGCATGCCCACAGTAAACAGCTACTCCTGAGCATCAGGCCCGGGGACTGGAGGTCCTCCGTGGACCTCCACGACGCGAATTTTCACAAACCCATTGCACAGGGGCACAAGAAGTTCCTCCGGTCCCCCACTCGGCTACTCCCTAGCCCCCCCGCACCTTCTCCAAGTGTGTGGAGGCGGCGCTAGAACCCCTTCGGCGTCAGGGCCTCAGGACACTGACGTATATCAACGAATGGTGATCCTGTCCTCCCCGGGAGGATGCGCAGGATCAAACGTTCAGAGTGTTAAACCACGTGCCCACCTAGGGTTTGTGATCAATAGGGACAAAAGCTCCCTGTGCCCGGCCCAGGAGATCTTGTATCTGGGACTGGGCTTGAATTCCAGGAGCATGACGGCTTCACTCTCGCCAGAGAGAGAAGCGGCGGTTCAGAACCTGGGCCGGATCGTTCTGGGTGAACCTCGGGTGCAACCGCGGCAGATCCAGTCTCTCTTGGGCATGATGGCAGCGGCCCATCCAGTGGTGAGACTGGGGTTGCTGCACATGCGATATCTCCAGAGGTGGTTCTCACACCTCAGGGGCTTATCACGGAGGGAGCAACTGTCGTTGAGGGCTCAGAACGACGTCGCCTTCTGGCTGTCCCCAGGTCGACTCCAGGAGGGAGTTCAAATGGGTGTTGTGGACCACCACATCAAGGTCTTCACGGACGCCTCACTGAGTGGTTGGGGAGGCGTGCTCGGCCACCACTCGACAGGAGGCGTTTGGTCCTCCCCCTTGGGGCACATCAACCTCCTGGAGTTGGAGGCGATGCGGTTGGTGCTGGCCCATTTCATGACCAGACTGGAGGGCCAACAGGTGATTGTTCGGACGGACAACACCACTGTGGCAGCATATCTGAACAGGCTTGGGGGGACCAGGTCCCCCGCCCTTCACAGGCTGGCAGTGGAGGTTCTTCTGTGGGCGGACATTCACCTAGCCTCTCTGAGGGCCCGTCATATCCCAGGCGAGCGTAACGTGGCCGCCGACAGGATGTCCAGGGGCGAGGCCTTGCGGGACGAGTGGGGTCTCGCCCCAGCGGTCGTGGCAGAGGTCTGGCTCCGGTTCGGGACACCGGTGGCCGACTTTTTCCCAAATGCAGAGAACGCACAGTGCCCACTCTGGTTCTCGCTCAGGTCCAGCAACGAGCCCCCTCTCGGGGTGGACGCCATGGCGCACCGGTCGTGGCCCAACGGTCTCCTCTACGCCTTCCCGCCTCGCCGGCTCTTGGCAGCCCTGCTTTACAGGGTGAGGACGGAGGAGTCTCCATCCTGGTGGTGGCGCCGGACAGCCCGGGAGCCAGGTGCTATCCGGACCTGGTGAGCATGGCGCTCAGTCCGCCTTGGCCCGTTCCGGACCGTCCTGATGCTCTGAGACAGGCAGGGGGAGCCCTTTACTCACGCCCTGTCCTGGGAAGCAGGCTCATGTTGAGCCTTGGTCTCCCTCCCTCAGTGGTCGCTACTATTCAGGGTGGGAGGGCTACATCCACCACCAAAGCGTATGAGGTTCGCTGGAAACTCTTCGCCTCTTGGTGCGTGGACAGATGTTGGACCCCACCTAGTGGGGTCCAACATCCCTCCATCCAGGAGGTCTTGGCTTTTCTCCAGTTCTTGCTGGAGAAATGGAAGGGCGGCCGCCACTCTGGGTGTGTTCGCGGCGGCCATTACCACTGGGCACGAAGGGGTTTGGTAGCCACTCTGCGTGGTTCCTACGAGGGGCCCGCAGGATCAGGCCTCCCCTCCGGCGGTCGGCTCCGTCTTGGGACCTTCAGGTGGTCTTGGCTGGCCTTTCAGGGCCTCCATTTGAACCCCTGGACAATGCGACCATTGCCTCATTGTCCTACAAAACGGCATTGTTGTGGGCGTGGGCTTCGGCCAAGAGGTCTGGGGATCTGTGCGCCTTTTCCGTGCAGCCGTCTTGTTTGTCCCTCCCCGATCGGGAGGGCATGATGGACATGGCACTTCGGTGGAGGAGATCTGCAGAGCGGCGTCTTGGTCCTCCTCCTCGACTTTTGTGCAGTTTTACCTACTGGAGGTGGCCTGAGTGAGTGCAGGGCGGCCCTAGTTCCTCCTTCGACAGACCTCGGTGAGAACTGGTCTGCAGGGGGGGGGTTGTGTGGAGAGGTGTTGGCGCTCTTGGGAGAGGCGGCCAGGACACCTCTGCAGTAAGGATAGGCGCTCTTGGGAGAGGCGGCCTAGGCCCTTCTGCAGTCTGCTTTACACTCCTGGGGATCAGGCGCTCTTGGGAGAGGCTGCCTGCCCAGGTTTGTTCTGATTTCTTTCCTGCTTTGCAGGTTGGAGAATGCGTGGGCACTCTTGGGAGAGGTGGCCCAGCATCCCTTTCTCTATGGCTCGTAGGACCTCCGTCTCTACCGCTTGGTTGCGGTATGAGCACGTGGGTCACGAGTTTGCTCCAATCACCGGAGTTCATGCCTGCTGGGAGTACATCGGTCTGGGCTTCGCTATGTTATGCATTAGCGAAGCCTAAAGGGCGAAGCAACATATGAAATAGAAACCCCAGTTACTTAATGTAACTAAGGTTCTATGAATATGTTGCGAAGCCCTTTAGCTTCGAGCCCAGCAGGCCTGCCCTCTCTTATTCGGCTGAGTTCGAAAGGAGAAGAGCTGTGGTGCATGGCCCTATTTATAGGGGACTGGCCTACGCCAGGACGTGAAGGTGATTGGAGGGTGGATCGTTTGATCTTCTCAGGGCGGGAAGCGATGCTTCCGAGAGATATGCATTAGCGAAGCCTAAAGGGCTTCGCAACATATTCATAGAACCTTAGTTACATTAAGTAACTGGGGTTTTCTGCGTTATGCCCATGGATCTAGGTTGTGCCATCTTTAAAGGCGACAATTTGTCATATTTTGGTATAACATAGTTTAGGCATATTTTATTTAGAAGTGAAGTATCCAGTTCTATTCAATTGCATTCCTTTTGTCTCTGCTTTATGTGTTGCCAGGTTGAATGGGCAGCAGTCCAAATAGACCGTCTTCCCTATCACAGTTCAATCCAATTATTTTTATACAGCCCTAAATTACAACAGCAGTCATCTTGAAGGACTTTACAAAGTTAATTATGAATGATTTATTTAGTTTCACCTCAAAACTTATTTTTGCAATGAAAAGGTTTGTATAATGTTTTAAATCAATAATACGTTTTGTTCTGAGAAATGTGCCAAAGCAAATGAAAAATCTGTTTCATATCCAGTTCAAACATTTAGACAGTGTTTCCTCTTTTTGGTGCCACACGGAGGAGGACCATTGCATAAAACTCACAGTGGAACACACACCCAGCATTTCTCCACGAAGCTGCTGCCAAAACGCCTCCCATTTCTCAAATTCAACAATGTTTCTAGGTGAGTTTTATTAAACTATATATAGACTTTCTACTTGTAAAATTAGTAATTACATGTTCAGGTTTATTAGTTACAAAAACCTAAAAGGACTACTGGTGTGTTTTAAAGCTGGAGTATCTGACTTCTGTTGGTTTCATCAGTACATTTTGTTTGTCCACAACATGCTGTATACATTCACCTTATTAGAATAAAACTGACACAACCAAGCATTTATTTTGAATTTAGATCAAGAGATCCTTTATTCATTCCACAGCGGGGACGTTTCAGTTTTGCGTCACCAGTTACAGCACATTAGGAATGAGGAGCACTTTATATTATAGTTCATGAATTTGACTTCAAAGTTAGGTACTCCAGCTTTAAGTGGTAATGAAGAAGAAAACATTCTGGCTCTTGCATACTAAAAGCATATAAATACCCTATAAAAGTTACAACCACACACATTATAAATGTATAGTGACCGTATGATGAATTTGTTCCACTGTAGGACACAAGCCTATTTTTTTTATTTACTCACCTTCAGATGATGGTACACGTAGGATTATTTATGAACTGCATTTCACAAGAATGTTCTAAAAATCAATATGAGCTGTTTTTTTCCACTGTGATTCTTCCTGTCTCATTTCCTTCTCTACATGACCCCAACTACAGCGCTGTCACAATGTTGCACTATAAACACATAAAACACTCAGTACTGCATTTGTTTTTTTGTGTATAGAGTATCTATACTAACATATAAACACATCGGTAATCCACATTATTCCATATTCGGTGTGGAAAATCTATGAAACGATCATATTAGAATGCAGTTATTATTTTTTGTTTTATAATATTTGGCATGCTGGATACAATGCTAACCATGCACATGATATAAACAATACACATTTTATTGACTTATTAAATAAATCAGTAATGTTTTTACTGTACATATGGAATACATTGAGATATAATATATAGGTATTCTTTGGATAAAACTTTCTTCTATTTTGAGATTTGATGAAAACAAACATGACACAGACAGCATTCGTTTTATCTGGGCTGTGCTCTATGTTAATCATTACACCATGAAGAATAGGAAGACTTGCATTATGGAACAAGATGTTTTATTGCTCACTCACTGATAATATCATGTGCACTTATTTCACTTCCAGATTAAGAAAGACAGGAAATGCGCAAATATCAAGAGTTCGCAAGTTGTGACCAATTGATATATGGTCACATCACTGTTCCAGTAAAGTGCCGCTTTCAACTATCTCAACTTTACAGCCACAGGGCGTGTTTGTGGCGTCATTACTACTAGGGAATGCAGGATGGGTCAAACTCCGTCAGAGCTCTCGCATTGCGCCGCAAGGACCAGCAGAGCGACATGGAAAACCAGTGAGACGATCCAACGCCTCGGAATATGCGCATTTAGGAACAAGGGGACGCGAGAAAACAGAGGCGAGCTGCAAAATCCAATGAAAAATAAAGCTCTGTCATGTTTGGGACGGAGAAAGAGACAGTCGAGCTGGGCCGAGGCGGATCCGGAGCGCGTAAAAGCAGCTGAGGAGGAGGAAGCAGCCCCGTGCGCGGCTTGGAAGTTACCGAGAGGCGGGCGACCTGCAGGCGTGAACTCTCCCAGAAACAGGCACACCACGACGCAAGGACCCGGGGTTCAGCCAGCTGCGAACCGAGCCACGGCCGCTGCTTCGTCCCATGCGTCAGGGGAAGTGTGCGTTGTGGGCAGCTCCGAGGACAATGCTGCGCCTCTTCTCTCGGAGGACATGGAGAAGTATTCACCGAGGAACGATCAGCAACACCGGGGAGGCTGTGAGGGATTGACCGCGACCAATGAGGGCTTATTGGTTCATACTGACGTGGTTAGTAGTAGTTCGCCTTTAACTGCGCGTACATGGGACACAATGACAAAATCAGACTGTGGTGTCACTGCTTCATGTCTTGATTCTGTAGCGCGGGAGAAAACGTGTCCAGCTGAAAGTCTAAACAAAGTTGACAGTGGACAAAGTGATCACAGTTCACCAGGAGTGCAATGTTATCCAGGAACCATTCCAAAACTCATCATCACCAGAGACACAGGCCCTGGCTGCTCCCAAGAAGTGCATCAGCCCAGCAGCAGCGGGGGTTGTCTGGAGCCTCACCCGGATGACGAGTCTCCATGCTCGGACAGTGGCTGTGGAGGCTCCCCTGCCCTGATGCGCTCCCGCAGAAAGCTGTCCAATTCGTCCTCCTTTGGCCTGTCTTCTGCCTCTTCATTTGAGGAGTCTGAGGATGATTTCACAGGGAGTGATATAGAGTCCAGTCTGTCTCCTGGACGCCTCTCCTCCCTATGCAGCCCTGAAGATGGACCAGCTGTAAGTATATTTAATGAATCATGTTTTTTTTTTTTAAAGGATTTTATTTATTTCCCTTATTCAGTCTATTTCAAAACAATTGTGTACTCAAAAATACAATTCAATCACATGTGCTCAAAAATACATTTACTTAATATTTACTGTGATTTATTATTATAGATTAGACCATTACACCATGAGCCACCAGTCAAAAAATAACATTGCTTTACCATAAGGATGCTCCTAGTCCTATCCCACTCTCTCCTAATTTGAAGAGTATGAATGACAAGGTAGAAGAAATGTCCACTCTTTGTTAGATGTGGTGTGAAGCCATTTTCCATTTCAACATTATAATGACAGCTATAACTACGTAGATTAGCCTGATTATAAGTTTCCATCCCCCAGTTCTCAATAGTGTGTATTGTCCCTTTAACATTAGTGACAGAGTCTTGTGGTGGACTCCAATGACACCTGAGTTGTTATTGTTTGACGTATTTAGAAGATTATGCATTTCCTTTAATCAGCACCAATAATTAATGCCAGTATTAGTTCATCCCTAACGAGGAGAGTGTTCTTCTTTTTAATAAAGCATTTTACAAAAATATTACATTGGTCAAAAATAAATAACCATTGTATGCTAGTCTCTTCTTGATCAAGTCACTAATTGCGGTGGAAACGTCTGCCTGCCTCAGTCATGTGTCATGTCATTAGAGTGGTCAGCTCAGCGTGATTCACTGTCAGTGTAGAAAGGATACTTGGTTTCCAGTAACTTACTCTTTTGAGGCTCTGGAGGGAAATTAAAGTCTTCACTACAGACTGTACTTTTGTTTCAAAACAAAAGCTGAATCCAAGTTTGTCAATCCACTTCCTAAAGCTGACAGTGGACATATGGCTAATGTCAAAATCATAACCTAGCTGCAGAGAACATCAGAAAATGATTAATGAAGGTTTCAATTGCCCATTATCAAATGATCTAAAATGTTGATAAAGATGATAGGAGTGCTGCACTGAATCATGCAGTAGAAAGTACAAAAACAGGTGCTTGTCGATTGCAGTTTAAATCCAAGCCCACTGAAGTGAGAGTGGCAGTATAAAAAATATTATTTTAAATATTTTTGTGCAATATCTCTGGATTGTACTGACATGAACAGTTTTCCCAGGCCTGCATCAGGACTTTGCCTTTGCAGCAAGCGTGTGTTTTTCAGTGACTTGTGATAAATATAGTTTTGTCCTGTAATTACTTGTAGTTTACATATGTGTCATTTTGAATGGGTGTGTAGCTCTTGTACTCAGCAGGCCCAGTGTCTCCTGGACAAACCTGTTGCTTCTGAACAAGAATGACGTGAGCAGATACTTGCTTGCACATGCATATTGAGACACTCGTACGTTCTTTTTCAAAGTTAACTTTGTGTCATGGAAAGCTCGTTGCTTGGCAGCATGCCTTCTATAAATGGTAATTTTACATTTAAATCTCGTTGACAACAATATTGCAGTGCAATCACGAGTTCTAACACGGTTATATTATGTTAGAATGACACGTCTTTGTCAGGGTTGACTATTATCTCTCCAGAGTGTGTGGAACAGGATGTGGGTGCAAAATGAATTTAAGTGTTGTAGTTTTGACAGTACCTGAAAACCTTTACATTTACATTAAGAAAGTGGTTGTCAGTAGCAGTTGTGTGACAGGTTCTTCTTAAACTTACACACTAAGATGTAGAAGTGCTGGGGAATTTGTCAAATGGACTAAAGAAAACGCAGTGTGAGTTTCCCTGCCCCCATGCTGCATGTCTGTCATGGAGAGCATCAGATGGCTCAGTGTGGGGCTCAGGATCTGCCCGGGGGTTATGGGATGTGAGAGACAAGGGACAAAGGTGATGGGACAGCCCAGAACAAATGCTTTTGTGACTACAGGAAGAGGGATCTGGTGTGCTCTGTAAAGTAATATAGGTTTGGGGAAAAAATAGAACAGAGCAATATTACAAGACTGTCAATTCCTTAATGAGAAGAAGTAAGTATTGAAATGGGAACATCTGAGTTTGAATAACCAGGAGAATTTATGAGTGACAACAATTGGAATCATCTGGGTGAGGGTAAGGCTTTTTTCCTCCTGAACTAGTACCGGTGTGTTGATACTTGAACAAATATTTAGATCTCTGATATAGCAAGTCTGTGTTTTTTCCGCCAACATAACACATTTAAATACGTTGGTGTCATGTGACCTGCTTTGTTGTATGTTCCTTGAGTCAGAGCACACCTCTTAAACTTCTACCATAATATTGATCAATGTGATGTGTTGAATGATAATATAATCAACTGTGTTTAGTCTTAACAAAGTTGTATAATACAGATGGGAGGTACAAGTTTTCCCAGAAGTTAAACCAGTACATCAGTCAGTCTGGGTGTTGCTGTGTAGGTGATGCATTTCATATTTTTCATATTCCCTTTTCTACAGGATTATGCATGCCTCCATGAGCAGTTGTTTTAGGTCTGAAAAATTACATGCTTTGGATAGTTGTAGTTTTTCGTTTACATTGACAAAAAGTGATCCATTCATAAGACTGTATTTAAGCTCTGGAAAGAATGTAACTAAGGAGAGGCCACATGTAAACATGACTCAAGTGGGCTGGGCAGCTCTTGTTATACAACTCATTGAGTTTTACAATTATGGCCCTGTGCTTTATCACCATTATAATGACCGAGACAAACTGTATCGATCCACGAAGGAAATATAATGAAAGTTTGCTTTCTTACGCCATTTTCATAAGTGGAATATGAATATGACTAGTATTTAGAACACAAATTATGGCGAGCTAACGTAAACAATGTAAAGCAGATAATTGAAATTAAAAAAAGGTTGACTCCTGTCTTGAATGCTGCCGTTTTTAAATCTTCTTCATACAACTTTTTTAAATTTAATGTTGCCTTGGTCTCTCAAATGTTGAAGCTTATTAAAATCTTAGGGGGAAATGGAATCTAATGTAACTATCCTTTTTATATTTTTTCTGCGACTACACCCCTACTTGAATCTAAAAGTTGGTTTGGATCTCAAGCCATTTAATCCACGTCATGTTCAGAAAATTTGCGTCAAAGGCCCTCTCTTACACACTGTCCATGTTCTGGTGTTTCCCAATGCTGATAACCAGCCAACAACCACTCAGCAGAGAGACAGTGTTTTACGACACAAGCAGCTTTAGTAAATGTTTTATGAATGGTACAGTGCACCTGGCCTTGTCCAAGGGGAAGGTCTGATGTCTGTGTGTGTGTGTGTGTGCAAATGTGGAATGGAGGGGTTTCTCCTGCTACGCAGAATTGCATTGGTTTATTTTACTGTAAAAAGATTGACATGAATGAAACCTTACCTCCCATGCTGTTTAAAAGAATGGACATGACTTGTATTTGCTTGTTTCCAGAATAAGTCGTGGCAGAAGTTGAAGACAATGGTTCACTGGTCGCCTTTTGTTGCGTCTTCGAAGAAGCGGTACCCGTGGGTGCAGCTCGCTGGCCACGCAGGTCTGCTTGAATAAAACGCCACCAAACATTCATGTCTCATGTGCATTACTACAGCCTGACTCTATTTGCCCCAGGTAACTTCCAGGCAGGAGACGATGGTCGCGTGTTGAAACAATATTGTGAATGTGAGCGACAGTGTTTACAGAAGCTCAAGGAAGATGTCCTTCAGCCCCATGTTCCTGGGTATTATGGTGTAGTGAACAAAGGTGAAAAAGACTTCAATGTGATGGATGACCTCCTGGCTGATTTTGAATCTCCATCCATCATGGATTGTAAAATGGGTAGCAGGTAAATTAACTTCTTGACACAACTTATAATATCATCTACTATACACTTATTTTCCTGAAAGAAAATAAGTGACTTATACTTGTTTTTATTTCTCTTCAGAACCTATTTGGAGGAGGAGCTGTCAAAAGCCCGAGTCCGTCCACGTTTGAGGAAGGACATGTTTGAGAAGATGGTGGCTGTAGATCCAGAGGCTCCGACTGAGCAGGAGCGAGCGCAGCAGGGAGTCCTCAAGCCCAGATACATGCAGTGGAGGGAGACGCTGAGCTCTACAGCCTCACTGGGCTTCCGCATCGAGGGCATCAAGGTGAGCACTCAATTTATTTGATGATAATGGATCAGTAATCTGTAATGGTAAGAACAGTTTGCATTGAAAACATGTTTTTAATCTTATCTCAATTATCAACTTGGATTTTCATATTCTCTACATATGAAATACTCTCAGTACTTCAATGATGAACATTTGGCGTTTTTAATTGGTGTTAAGAGTTTATTACATAAAATATTATCCTCAAACTTGTCTGCCTTGACAAGTCTGAGCAGTCAGACGAGTGCTTTCCAAGGCTTGGCTCTAGTGTGTATTGATATGCTAGCTATTTTTATATATTATGATAATTATTCATTACTCACAGAAAGCTGATGGTACCTGCAACACTAATTTCAAGAAGACAAAGCTGAAGCCGCAGGTGATGAAGGCGTTTGGAGACTTTGTCGAAGAAGACACTCACACTTTGGTGCGTTTCTTGTATCTTGACTGGTCGTCTGTCGAATATTCACTGCAGTGCAGTTGCAGGGTTAGTGAATAGTGCAAATTCAACGGCTTACATGTAAAGGTTTGCCAGTGACATTGAGGAATGATCCAAATGCAGAGTACACATATTCTTACAGGGACAATAAATCTCTAATTCCCCCTAAACTGTGGAGTGCCACAGGGGTCAACACTGGGACCTCTTCTCTTCTCTTTAATTTCTACATGCTGCTGATATGCCATTTAATACACAGTAACAATCTACTCCATAGCACATATTTTAAACAATCCTGCAATATGAATGCAAACTCAGTCATTATGAAATCAGTCTTCATAACGGTGTTTTCAAAGTGATTGCAAAGAAACATTTCTGTGCAAATCGGTGAAGAAAAGTAATTGTAATCAAAGGGTGTTTGTATTAGATTTAATCGTTTGAGCCCACATAAACTTGCCTCTGAAGCTCTCGAGTATCAAGGGCTTAGATGTTCGAAATATTATTCCGATTCGTGTAAGAATTTTTTTTTAGTAAGTTCAGAAAGTTTTAATGATGAATTGAATTTTGAAAAAGGTCCGCACAAAGGCAACAAGTATCCAGAAAATATGAAAACGTTTTCACCATCTGTACTTATTGTTTGGTATTCATTTTTATTCAACTCTAATCATAAGTCTTAATGTCACTTGACTAAACCTGGAGCTTCTCTGAATTTGAAACTTGAACCTCGTTTTTTTTTTTGTAGAAGCTCTACCTGCACCAATTAGAGGAGCTGAGATTAGTACTAGAAAGATCACCTTTCTTTTGCTCACATGAGGTAAACCTTGTTTGATCTTCTAAACACAAACAATATATTTTATAATCTGGACTTTCAGCTAATTGTGCCACCGGTTTCATGGTTCCAGGTCGTGGGCAGCTCTTTACTGTTTGTGCACGATGCGTCGGGGAAAGCGCGTGTTTGGATGATCGACTTTGGGAAGACAGTTCCTCTTTCAGAGGGACAGACCCTGGACCACCGGACACCGTGGGTAGAAGGCAACAGGGAAGATGGCTTCCTCTGGGGACTGGATAACCTCATCGATATCTTTAGTACAATGCTTTCACCAACTCCTTCAGAGGAAAAGAGTTCTGATCGATCGAAGGAGGACTGATTGAACCCACATTTTCTTAAAAGCAGTGGACAATCCAAGATTATCTTTATTGACTTGATTACAAGCACAACATGTATTATCACTTTGCTGACTGGAATTTGCCAAAAGACTTTATATTTTCTACTTGCGACCAGCCTTGGGGCATAAACTTAATATATGCAGAGAAACCTTGCCCAACCCCTTTTGTCTGGGAACGAGAAAGCATTCCTTTGTTGCCTCATCATTAGTGCAAAAGATGAACTATTTTTCCGGAAACTTTACTTGTCATACTTCAACACTAACCACTGGAAAAAACGTGTGTAAATAATAGATGTATTTAATTAACTGTTTGGCTTCTTTTAACTTGTTCAGCACGTCCGTGCCCATCATTTTTTTAGATTCATTCCATTGTTGTGAACTGTTTTTCATCCAAGTTCACTTCAATTTAAAATACAAGTATTTCCTAAGCTATAAGGAGAAAAAGCCTTTTGTATAAGATTTTTTTGGGAGTGCAGCGGTACACATTTGAGATTTCTGTTTTTGCTTGAAGACTGTTGCACAATGGATCTGGACAAAGCCATTGAACAAATCAGTGCCTGATGTATGTGATTGTGAGCAGTCCTGGGTTTACACACAAACAGAAGCACAATAGTGGATCAATTTATAAGCTGCGCTTTCCATATCGCTGAGAGCAAACTGGTGAAAAGTTTGAAAGTGAATGAGCTGATTAAAGTTTCCATTCAACATCTGAAGTCTCATGGTTTTTGTTTCCTGTTCATCAAAACAAACTGACAATATTAGGTGTAATGTAATCAAAATGTATTAAAAAATAAGGCACTCAAATGATCATTCTGGCAGAACAAAGATTTGTATCTTTGTAATATCCATAGTGTCATTGTTACAATCAGGACCATTATCAGTCATTTTTCAACATATTCAAGTACAGTTAAAGGGTTATTGTCTCGGTGACCTTGTATAAAGCAAAACTGCTTTCCCCTTGAGTCCAGCTTCCACTCCTCCTTCAGGTAATATATACTTGGTTCCATCATGTTCCCTCTTTGGGTCCAGTGTCCTGAGTTGGTCATTGCTCTCAGCTAAACAGTCTAAACTCCATATCTGATAACGTAGACTTTTGCCCTGTTTGGCCAATATGTAAACCTCTCTTGGCTGGGAGCTGATGAGAGGACAAAGAGATGCACCAGTAGACAGATGGAGCCAGGACAGAGTTGGGTCAGAATGAACGTGCTGCTTAGTGAGGCTCCCGTGGTCCAATCCAAGAAGAACACCTAAAAAGAGTTTTTAAAAGGATATATACATATAATATCAAATAATTTTAACTTGGGCCTACCTGAAGCAACAGCCCAGTGTGCCTTGTGGCCACTTCGCTTACAAGGTGCATGGTTAAAATCCTCATCATAGCTGAGTTTTCAGTCAAAAGAAATGTTTGATTTTACATGATTGTGTACTAAACTTTTTGCTGTTGAGAGGATACGGTATGAGAACAGGTTGGCGATCCCACAAGTGTTTTATAACGGACAGAGCGTTGTCATCTCGTAAACCACCGGACAGCAACTGAGCCTTGCAACAACATATCTCTTCTGCCAACAGTGCCATGTTTTGAGCTGGTAGTAAATAGACCTGTTAGAAACTAAATGTAATAATGCAATATTGAATAGTGAAAAGTATAAAGTCACCTGAAAACATTTCTCCTTGAGCAGTGTATGCTCTGTTCAGTGCTGTCTGTACCACAGTCTCCATATCAATATTCAGTTGAGGCTGACAGAGGTGAGATGCCATCCATAAGGCCACCAAACCACACCTTGAAGATTCATAATACACTCAAAAACACATTATGTAGCGCTGACCGTACATGTAAATTGTTAGTTTAAGTCAATTCACCAAATAAAAACAAACATAATTAGACTAATTTGTACATTCTTAAAGCTGGAGTCCTTTACTTTACCTTTTAGACATTTACATGAATAATTATCGTGTTTATATAACATTTTGAGAACAAATCAGACCAATTTTATGATAATATCTACTACTATGTAATAACGATGACACACTCACTGTGGACCATCTTGAATGAGGGAAGGTACATACGTGTTTTCTAGAACCCACATCATATCATTCCTAAAACTGGAAATCAAAAAGCACAGTGTAATATTTGGCTTAACGCATCGAATTCATGAGCAATGCCTAAATCACCTGTGCTCTTGTTGACTGAGCAGAGTGCGAGCCTCGGTAAAGTCGCCCTCCACGGGGGTCCTGTTGCTGGCTATGGTTTGATACAGTTTCCTTTTCTGTGTGGGACCCCCTCCGTGTGACTGCAGACTACTAGGCAGAGGGGGAGGCGGTGGAGGAGGACTGCAACCATTCTGGGACATATCAATGTGCGAAACTAGACGAAAAACGTGTTAGTTTGATAAAAAAGATCATTTGAAACCAAAGGCACATTAGCTTAGCCTACCTTAGCACGAGCCGAGATCTGTTTTTTGTTTAGTCGAGGAAGGACAATAACTAACTAAATTACAGAGTAGAAGATGTCTTTTTAAACGCTTATTTAGTTCAAAGTTGGCTAAAAGATCAGTCATGCTGCTCTACTGAAATATACCCATGGCTCTACTGCCCTATTTGGGCAGTCTTCTTCTGGTTCACTGCTGCCACCTGCTGCTGATGTTGTTGTCTACTCTAGACTATGTTATTTTTTATTCTGTTAACAAAAATCTATGCAGCTGTCTACGGACTTTTCACAATTTGTATCAGTGCAAAAGTGTTTTCGGGTTTCTTCTGTTGTTTTCTCGTCTCGCTATATATTTTTGGTTATAATTATTATTAGTTTTCATCTGAAAATATTTTTTAAAATGAAACAACATATAACAAAAGGTTGAAAAGAAAAAGGGCATGGAAATAACAAAGCATGAAGAATGAAGCTGCAGTTCTCATCCACTCCTCAGGGCGGCGCTTGTCCTCGATATGCGCTATTTAACAAATACCTAGAAGCAGCAGAAACATCGCGAGAGTACGACATTCTGGAGCTGTGCTCGTGAAGCTCTTCATTCATCGACTCGACTCTCAGTAAGTTCATTATTTACTGTCTATTGCTCATTTATAGTTCAATCTGCAGCTACCTGCGTCCCGTTATTGCCATTATTTTTAGATACAGACGGTAAAAACCAGTATTTATCTACGAATCTGAACAACAGTGTGCTAGACTAATCGGCGTGGCTGGCGTTAGCTAGAGCTAATTGCTAACCTATACGGTCCATACTAAACTCATTACGGATAGTCAATGTGTAATTTTACATGTTTACAGTATTATCATTTACATGTCATGACTAATTTAATCATATACATATGTAAAATGGCGCTTTACACAATGGATGCATCTTATCCGCATGTGTTGTCGATTGTTTCACAGGTCAAAATGACCACTCCGGAAGTGCGGCTGAACCACACCATATACATAAACAATTTAAATGAGAAGATCAAGAAAGATGGTAACTGAACGTTTCCTCGCGATGCAGCTTCAATGAGAACGTGATTTTGCATTTGCTCATTAGATTTGTGCTCTTTTCAGAATTAAAAAAGTCTCTTTACGCCATCTTCTCTCAATTTGGGCAAATTCTGGACATTCTGGTTGCAAGAAACATTAAAATGAAAGGGCAGGCTTTTGTTATTTTCAAGGAGGTAAACAGCGCCTCCAATGCACTAAGGTCGATGCAGGGGTTCCCATTTTATGACAAACCAATGGTAAGAAGAAACTATTCTGTTTACAATGTGCATTGCTTTACAAAAGTGTTCTTTTTTCAGAGAATCCAATATGCTAAACAGGACTCGGACTTGATCGCTAAAATGAAAGGAACCTTTGTAGAACGTGATCGCAAAAAGGAAAGGATCAAAAAGCCCAAACCAGAAGGCTCAAAGAAGGCTGCTGCTAGTGCTGTGGCTGCTGGTGTTCCAGCAGGGATGACTGTAAGATTGTTATATTCCTTAATGCAACTTAAACAATTACCTGTATTTATCTGACACTTGTCTTTGTTTCAGGCTCCTCGTATGATGCACATGCCTGGCCAGCCACCATACATGCCTCCTCCCGGCATGATGCCGCCTCCTGGAATGGTCCCTGGTCAGATGATGCCTGGACAAATGCCACAACAGGTACTGTTATGTTCAGGCATCATTCTGTTGTTCACTACCTATTCTATTATATTTAATATGATCTTTTTTATTTCAGGTGTCAGAAAATCCTCCAAATCATATTCTTTTCCTCACCAACCTGCCTGAAGAGACCAACGAACTCATGTTATCAATGCTCTTCAACCAGTCAGTGTCAGCTCTATTTTTTTTAAAAAAGGTTAACTTTTCCAAGCTTATTTTTTGTTCTAATGTTTTTACACCCAGGTTCCCAGGATTCAAAGAAGTACGTCTGGTTCCCGGCCGGCACGATATTGCTTTTGTGGAGTTTGATAATGATGTACAGGCTGGAGCTGCACGAGAAGCTCTTCAAGGCTTTAAAATCACACAAACCAATGCCATGAAGATCTCCTTTGCCAAAAAATAATATCCCTCGTTAAAACTGATTTGACAATTTTGAGTTCTATTTTCACCTTTTTTATGGATTTTTTTTTTTTTATTTTTTTTTTTTGATGCTATGTAAGTATCCATCTGTAAGTATCTGCTTGCATTGTTTGTCATCTTTTATTGTAAGCATTGCACCCAGAGTCTGGTTTCCCAGACATCGTACCTGGAGCTTTTTTTACACACAATTAAAACTGTTCTAACAATTTTGTTTATTATTCAATCAATCTAATGATCTAAGGTTCCCTCTCGTTGCTTCATGACTTTAGTGTACTATGTCCTTATTTTAAATATGGTTTAGATGGTCATCTCAAAATCACCCAAATAGTTAAAATATATGGTAAAGCTGGTCACATGATAACTTATGGATAAGGGCTTATGTCAAGACTGGGTAGTTTGTTTCTTTGGCAAACTTAAGGTATTTATGGGGCTGTAACAAGACAAAACTAATAGATTATTAAAATAGTTTTCAATTTGGTTCACTAAATGATTTAACCCTTGTGCTATCCTTGGGTTAAATTGTCCTCCTGCAGTGATTAACAATACCCTAAAATGTTTTCAAGCTGTATTTTTAATTTTCCCAACTTAACCCAGTCTAAATGGTTACATTTTAGACCGCAAGTGGATTTTTGTATAATTTATAGAGACCAAAAGTTTCGGCTCATTTATAAAAAAAACAATCGTTTTTGCTTAAAATCCTATTGATTAGTCAATAGGATTATTCTGATGGAAAGTACTATTGTTCCTGTTTTACTGCACACTGTTAATCACTTGTAAATTGAAACCACAGGCCGTATTTAGTTGCAACTCATTCCATCGCCCTCTTTATACACTAGGTGGCGCCAAATGAGACCATGTTTCAGCGTTTGCAGGTAGTTTCTGCTTTTACGCGCCAGATTGTTTCACAGATGTGAACGGGTTACTTTATCTTTTTTTTATTCTATAATTTGAATCTAGCTTCAATGTCACTGTTCTCTGCTCTATGCAAATGAACTGTTGTGTCTTGAAGAGCCCTCTGTTCTGGACCGGGGTCAGCTCTGAGTGCCAAGCCCGTAGAAACACCAGCGGTTGTCAGGGAAGGGAAGTGCAGAATCTCATTATACTGGCTGCAATAAAGACCATACAGTGTATGAAGTTAATCTTTGGAACATATTACGTGTTTAAATTTAACCAAAAATGAACAGTCATTTATTCTAATCGTCAACTATTGGGCAAGCCTCAGAGAATCACTCTGGGGGATTCATAATTTGCTGCAATAATACAATAAAGATTGTTTACGCGCGTCCATCCAAAACGCCAAAATGGTTTTTAATTGTTACATGCTGATGATAGGTCTTGCATTTTTCTAAAGTTTTTTAATGGATTGGGGGGGAGAGAGAGCGGAGACATTAGACGAGAGTCAGCCCTGCCCCAGGACACACCCTCCGCTCATTGTCTCCCACTGCCGCCGCTCTCGTGTAGGATTGAAGTGATGGGGCACCGCTCATGAGGAGAGCGCTAAATGAAGTATTCTGCTGCTGGACACAACTTTGCATGGAAAAAAACAAGTGGCCCCTTTGTCACGTGTTTTTCTATTGTGTCCGGACTTGAAGAGAGTTGCGCCTGTTAATTAGGATCAGAGTTCAAGTGGAGCGAGTCGCCAGATTGGACCTTTAAAAGCTTCTTAAGGCGGCTGGTAGGAGGAAGAGCCTTTTTATTGGTGTTTATGACAAAGTGGAAGTAGAAAAACGCGTGGTGAAGACTGCGGACAAGTGGCAGTCGTTATGTTTTTTCTGAACTGGACGTGATGAAGTGGGGGTAAGTGCGGAGAGGGCTGCGGACACCGGAGGAGCGCACTTCGAGGCAGGGATGGAGATGGCACGAGTGAGAGGCGCGACTCGAACTCATTCTTGGAACAGGACAATAAAATATGCTGTTGACCCACATGTGGGGACCTCAGGACACAGAGCACATCTCCACCTGCAGCGGACTGTGATTTTCCTGGTTGTGCTCTCCATACAGCCGCAGGTAAGCCACCGATTAAAATCTATTCCTGGAGCGCACTTAATGCTCCCACGCTGACTTTTGACTGTGTGTCTTTTTTCTGAGCTCATGTGTTTTAAAAGGCTGCGCTGTTCCTTTTGTAGAGTTGTCCTCATTCCCGAGCTCATGCATGGTGCTCTGCCCACCTGTTGTTTCAGCCCTCTGGTCACCATCCCACACTCACTACTTAAACTGCTCAGTCAAAAGGCAAAGATGGCTTTGTAATGTTCATTTTTACACTACATGCATGACTGTACATGCAAAAACAAACTGAGGCAATTTAAACATATAGGTTATAGCAATCCTCATAAAGAAATCCTGTTTAGGCAACTGCAATGTGGACTTCAACCAGAAGAGACAAGGAGAATCCCCTAAGCGCCTCTTCATCAGTGTTAGTATTATCAGGAAGATACTGCAACCCGCGATATAAACATGAAAGGTCTGGTTTTTGTGGCTGTTGTTCCCCCTCAAACCTGCAGGCATCCCCATCCTGGGTGTGTGGAGTCCAGGGCACAGCCAAATCATCTCAGGGCGTGTGAACCATGCAGCTCTCTCTCTCTCTTCATGTCTGCAGCCCCTCAAAGAACAACACGCTCCACTCCCTCTGCTTGCTGTGGAGCCCACCACCAAACAGCCAGGATGACATCCGCTTATAGAGTATGAAAAGGAATGCCACACAGAAGCTTCTCTAAATTGGGTCATTTGTGCCTACAACATGTTTTCTGTTGAATTTCCTAAAATGTACCTTATTTGTGGTGTTTTTTCTCCTTGTTAACCAAACAGGCAATGCTGGTGTCGCCACAAAACATGATTAACATAAACTATAGGGCTGTAATGATTATTCTGATTATTCATTGATATAGTGATTATTCTCTATCAATGGATTTATTTTTTAGAACACTGATGCGAGTTTTGATTTACTGATGAAGCATGAGGAAGTTCAAAGATCAAAACTGTTTTGCATTTGCATAGCTCCTACAGTATTTCTAATAAACTAATAAAACCACATATTTTAGCCCATTCCTGTTTTCCATTATTTACGTGACTAAAAGGGTTTTCAATTATTAGAAATACTTGTGATTAATCAGTGAATTGTTACAGCCCTATTCTGAATCAAAGGAATGACATAACTCTCTGTACGATTCAGATGTGAGAGTAAATGCAACTATTCAACAATACAAACATTCAATTAGACAAATTAATAAAAAGCATATCTGTACAATTTCAACCTTTCATATGGAGCCATTCTGGACTGGTCCCACTTGTGTGTCTGGTCTGTGTAAGCGCTGAAACGCTGGTATGTGGGGAATGGCTTGGGCACACAGTGCAGTAGAGGAAGAAAGGACCACGCAGAGTGATGAGCGCCACTGTATCTCCATAAGCCTTTTGATGTGGAGAGGGCCTTTTCCCCTCCCCCTCTTCCCCCTCCACTCTGGGACAGGGGCAAGAGGGGGCCATCCTCCCATTGAGGCCTGACTCATTCACGTCCAATGATTTGTGCATATTTATTTACGTTTAATAAATGGGTGATGATCTCATTGGCTTTTTTTGTGTAGCCAGATTGATTCAGCTGATGATTTACAATTTGTTTGTTGTGCGTCTGAAAGCTATTGTGACATAAACTGCATCATACAGACAGTAGCACGCCCACATGACCTCAGTGGCCCATGGGAATCTCTGGGGACCTTGTTAACTCAAGTGTGTAAGACCACCTCCTCTTTAAACTGGCTGGATAGCTGTGATACTGTGTGGAAGCTGTGAGACAAACTAGGTGAATGTGTTTCATCACATATAAACAAATACAAAAGGGAGAGATTATGAATGAGTTTCCAAAGCCAAGGTCCATTAGGATCTTGATACACAGACATTAAGAGCAATACCTCAATCAAACCTTCAACATTCAAAAGAACTGATTTAAAAAATAAAACTATACATGATTTTGTCAATCCTTGTTTATGACAGGACATGATGAAAGTGTTCTGAAGCAGGTGTACACGTATGTATCATGTTGTAACACAATGTCAGCTTGGCATCTGGGGATAAGGCATGTCTACTGTATCCACACAAGGCCCTGGAAATAATCACATGATGGATCATCGTAAATATTTATAAAGATGATCAATTATAATTTTAATATTGCTTTTTGTTTTCAGTGTACTTTAATGTGCCTAAACTATTTTTGGACAAAACAGACCACAACATGCTGTATTCATCTTATTAGAGAACAGATTTTTCTTTTGCATATAAAGAGGGACTATCTGAGACGTTGGGCTGATGAGTGAGGGTGGTCCTCTCTTTTTCACTTTTTTGTCTGAAAAAAAAACCCTCTAAAGATGTGACAAAAATACATGCAAAAACTGATGATAGAACCAAACTAATGTTTAATTGCACAAGTTGCTAAATAAGTTACCACAGCTTTATGTGTGGCTTTAAATAAACCATAGTCTTTAACTTCACACAGTTTTATCCTCTAAATTTACATACAAAAATAGATCAAGTTCAACCATAGCCTGTTTCTTTTTCAGGCTGTTTGGGCGGTGGGGATGTTCGAGCTTCAGATCCGTCACTTCCAGAATCTCCATGGACTGCTGCATAACGGGGCGTGCTGTGACCCCCAGGCCAACGAGGGTCAGCGGTGCTCTGCCAGGGACCAGTGTGACACGTATTTCCACGCGTGTCTGAAGGAATACCAAGCCAGGGTTATCCCCACTGGAGCCTGCACCTTTGGGACGGGCAGCACGGGGGTCCTGGGCGGAAACTCTCATTCTCTTCATCACCAACGCCATGGAGTAGAGGACAATGCTCATGGTCACATTGTCATTCCCTTCAAATACGCCTGGCCGGTGAGTACGGGGCAGAGTGGGTCATCTCTGTGGTTACCAAGGGAACAGCTCAGCTTCAAGTATAATATACCCCAATTGGCAGCGTTGCATAGTAATGACTTTGATATCAACTGGGTTCCCATGGTGTGTATGATGATTTTGATGATTTTGATGTGTAGAGGCATCGTGTACAGTGACAAACATGTTAATTTTTAGTAACTTTGATTTGTAATGTATAGATCAATCAACCCCAATTTGGTATGATCAGTAAAAACAGTATGAATGTGGTGTAAGTGAAAGATGGTGGTGGTCAGAGGGGTTGGTAACAGACTTTCACCAACTTGCGTGGAGTGAATGGATAGTGACTTCAGTGCAGTGCAAGGCGTTATTATTATTTGGTACAATTTGTAATAGAATCCAGGGTGGGTGAATTGTAAATATGTATCAATTCAAATGAGTTTTGAGAGAACCTGTAAAACATCTAAATACAGATTGATGCACAAAGGTTATATTTTGTATTTGAGAAAACTGTTACCATGTTTTTGATATTTTATTACATTTTTTCTCTCCTTAAAACCACGTTTGTGTTTTTTAGTCTCTGCTTTGAGAGGGCTGGTGTTCTTGAGGGCAGGGCACACCAATCCGCCGTATGCAGCAGCGTAGTGCTTTTTGTTTGAAGTGTCGTTGGTCCATCAGAGATTCTCCTGCATTTGTGTGTTAAAGTGTGTAATTATGGAGACTTCATGTTTTCTGCTGTCAAAACAATCCTCTTGAAACTGACAGACCGATTCCATTTGCCATTATGACAACAATAGGTGCGAGATGAAAGGGACAGATATTGATTGTTATGGTTTGTTTGGTCTCAAACAAACCATAACATTGTCTATGCTGTTTTCTCAGCCTCCTGTCAACCCTTTCTTTATGTGAGAATGCTGTGATATCAGCCCATCTCATAATCATGAAGCATTAGGCAAGCTCCAAATGATATTCTCTCATTTGTTTGTTTAGGCTCTGCTTGAGTGAGGCACATTTTTTAGTTTGTCATTTTGTTTTTTGTAATTCTGAATAATATTTTGGGGGCAAACATATAAACATCAGAGAAAGTTTACTCAGAGTGCTCCCAGTATGGTTTTCATTAAAATAGTATTAGGTTATAGACACAGCCAGGCCTAATGGCTTAAAGTTGATGCTGTTATAATGACATTTGGATCAACAGCACTGTGCCTTGTCGCACTAATGATGTTTTCTTCTGTTGTGTACGTAACAACTTAGAGGTTTGCTGCTCTGAAGGTTTCCACGCATCAGCGATGTGAAACTCAGATCATGAGAGTGACATCATATTTACCTGTGAGAATCTGCGCCCAGAGCCAATCATCCTTCCTTATCTTTGTCCTGCTGTCTTTTGCTGTGTGCCGCATGCATACACACTTTCTTCACACTTTCCTTTCTGGACAGTGTGGGTGAGTGTGAGAAAGTTTCTGGTGTCAGAAAACCTAGCAGGATCACTTACATGGCCGGCCTGGAGGGCCGCGCAGGTCTGGGCTGAAGGGGACTTGCAGAGAGGGGTGTGTCCTCTGCTGTTTGGTCTCAAAGAGCTGCTTTATGTGGCAGAGAGAGTGATCCCTGTGCCCCAGGTGAGGAACAGGTGAACGCTCTGATTATGGGAAAAGGTGAGTTCTGACCGTCCCATGGCCTGTCTGTTTGTTTGACACTTTCTAATGGTATTTTTTCTCTGCTCACGACACAAGATCACCAGAATGTGCACTTTACATTTCTTTAAACTACAATTTTCATAATAGATCTGTTATAATCAATAAACATTCAAAGTTAATTTAAATACCCCTATACTGTATAGTGGGATACACCTGCGCTTTAATGTGACATTTTGGCCTTTGGGATTCAAAGAATTGGCTGGAAACACAAATAATGTCTAAATCAGCTCACTTTCATTTCCTTCACTTCAGATGGGTGTGATTGACATTATCCTCCAGAAACATACATGTTCTGTCTGTAAATAAATAAATACATACAATTAGAATGACTATTCTTTCAATTAATCAACAAGTTATATGTGATTTTGCCCGACTTTGAGGTAAAGCCATTCAAGAAGATTATAATTCCACAAAAAACTGTTCAAATAAGAATATTTTTTTCTTGATTTTCATGTTAACTTGGCTGTTCTGCTCTCGGGAGTACTGACCCCAGATGGTAGGGGAATTGCACGGGTTTTTAGTGGTAGGGGAAACCGGAGCACCTGGAGGAAACATACACAGACAGAGGGACTCAGAAAGGTCTTGTGCCGACAGGATCTTCTTGCTAAGAGGCAAGAGTGCAAACCATAATTTTTCATGGATTACCGCTCTTTTTGACTCTAAGCACATCCATGGGTTGCAGTTCATAATTGACAATTATAAAGCAATCCTAAAATAGTTTGATTATTGAAAAAAAAACTTTATTATCTGCAACTAACAATTACAGCCCTAAAATAAATAATATCACAGGGCCCTCAAATGGATGAGCAGAGGTTTTGACAAATGACCCATGATCTTTTCCCATTTATCACTGAGTCTGTGACTTGAGGTGCAGAGGAAAGAGAGACCAGACTGACATCAACATTATATTTCATGAACACTTCTTGGTGAACCCCTGGGAACCTGCTGTAGACGACCAGACTGAGTGCTTCGGGAGGCCATAGTTTGAGCTGTACCAAGACATTGTGGTTCTAGACAGCGCTGATTTATACGTCACGTTGAAAACAACAAAGGAGCCTTTTTCATGTTGTTATGTCGCAAACAGTTTTTTTGGTCTGTGTTTGTTTATTTGGGCTTTGTGTTGTAAATCACAGATGCGCAGTGGTGAGGGATGGTTAGGGTTGGCGCCTCTCTGGAGAGTGGAAAAGTTCTTAGGTTTTTACGTACTGTGGTGTGTCATGTCTTAAAGGTCCTGGTGGTTTCACTGATAGAGTTTGGATGACAAAGGTGTCCGAGTAAGTCATCTATAACGTGGAATAATGTAGTGATACATAGATTAAAGTTCAAGTTTCAAGTTGCAGTAATTCAGCTTTTTCACTGTTGTTGACCATGTTTAGCCCAAAAGGCTTTTTACAATCTTTGTCCTCTGTTTGTTGATAGCCCGGAGGATAATTATAGTCTGCCTCTAGAGGTGTCAAACTCATTTTGGTCAGGGGCCGAGCAACAAAAAATAGGAGCTGGTCAGTGCCAAAAGAATGCATTAGAATTTATTTTTACGTGTTGAAGGTATTTTGACATAACTTTATTTGTTTGTCATGAAATGTGATGGTATGGATAGGTGATGTATGCCATGGTCGTCCATCCCAATCAATGCTGTAAGTTAATATTGATATATAAAAATCATGTTAGGGACCTAAAAACCCAGGGACCCCCCTGTGGATTCACAACCTGCAGCAGGATCAGTGAGGAGCTGGTGCTCTGTGAATTGGGTGCAGCTCTGACTGCCACCCCCAGACCCAGAAATGGATTAAGTGGAAGAAAATGGATGGACCTAAAAATTGTCTTGCGGGCCAGATTTGGCTAGGGCCTGTGTTTGACCTGTCGGATCTAGAAAATCGACTCTTTCAGATAGGTCCTATGAATCAGCGATCTCGTCATTCTCCTCCACCTTTAACTTAAATCTCTTTGGGGATATTTAAAAAAATCCTTTGACCAACGCCGCTGTGATCACTCAAATAAAGTAATGTAAGTAATTATTTTTATACTGCCTTTCACAGACCAGAGTCACAAAGCAGTTTACAATTGTTATTTTGTTTGGGCATTTGTCCTCCCACTCCACACAGAGATGGGAGCGGGGCCAGTACAGGAGGTGCATGCCAGTCCCATTGTACATGATTTTAGTGGTAGGGGAAACCTACACAGACACGGGGAGAACATGCAAACTCCACTCAGAAAGGCCCTGGTTCGACCGGGATTTGAACCCACAACCTTCTTGCTGAGAGGCAAGAGTGCAATCCACTCAGCCACCGTGACGCCCAAAGTTAACCTAAAGTGATGGAATGACATCCAGCCATCTGTAATCCTCTTGCTATGTCTTCAAACTGAATTGTGGTCAGGTTTAGTGCCAGGGGCCAGAAACAGCTGCTCATGGGAACTACATATACGTTTACCACACATGCTTTGTAATGCGCCTGTTGAATTGTGACATGTGCCGTCAAACATCAAAATGACTCATTATATAACAAGACATCTGATCGCATGAGTTTCAATCCTTCTTTTGAATTCTCCTTCCTCTTTATGGAAACCAGTTTATATCGGATATCACTAGTAAGACAACTCATTTCCCTTTCAACCACAAAGCAAACAAGGACCTAAGGAAGTACAAATTTGACCTTGAATTTCTACCTGTAAACTTTTAAAATGTGTTTTAATTTTTTGTCACCACTTGATTTGATTGATAAAACGACTGAGGAAAAGACAAAAGATGCCGAGGTTCAGGGTCATGTAACAGCAGAAGACATGCGTTATTGTTGGTCCACAGCACCAGAAACATGACCAGAGTTTTCGCAAAAAAAAAAAAAAGTACCTTCTGTTGCATCTGTTGTAATGACAAGCTCAGTTTTACCATAACCCACTATACAAAACATATAGGAAATATTACACAGTATCAAGCGGGGATGGGCGAGTTTTGCAATTAGTTTCTCTAAAATTGTTGCCACAGGCTCATTAGCTGCTTCTGGTTACTTACTTACTCTTATTATTAGCAAAGTATTTAATTTTTTGAGACCAGACAGAAATCTCCTTCATCAGCTCATCAGTATTGGTGTGACACGGCCCAAAACCACAACTGCATTTTATAAACACAAGCTGCGACAATTATACACCGTATATTCTACAGAACAAAATAATAGATTTGATTGTGTATGAATGGACAGGGCAGTTCCTCTGCAGCTCACACGTCCTCAGAGGTCTCATTCGACATGCAAAGTTTGGCTTCATGCAAATTCTTGAATGTTCGTACAGTATTGTCCGAGCAGATGGCCCAGAAAC